TAACTTTGGTAGAACAAATTTGTTAAGTGCTAATTAGTTAGTTGGTTTTATTCAACTAAAGAAGAACTTTTTCCAAGGTGAAACAACAGAACCAAAACTGTAGAAATAGTAATGATCTTTTCAACTAGGTAGTAATCATGTTTTTATCACCTTTACCATTGTTAAAATCTAGACTCTGCTACCTTTAATCTTCATAGTGTTGTGTAGTAATTGGTGCTTTAATCATAGTACTAACGATTGACCGATAGATTTAAATAGCGATCGAAAAATTCATTGAGGCGAAACGGTTGAATGCTGTATCTTTCTATTTGTATAATTACTTTTAACGCTACTTCTGACAAATTTATTTATCTTTTATAGTCGGTGAAAAACCAGCAGCTATGTTAACAGTTTGGCAAGTGGCTGGACTACTTGGTTAGGGAACTTTAACCCTCAACTTCTATCTTTTGTGTTTGGTTGTCTTTGGCATCCTAACTATAATCCTAATAACACACTCTTTGGTTTCCTGTTGAGTAACATACCACCGTATTTAGTTTTGATGCTCGAGGTCTTCTTCTCTTAGAAATCCACCTTGGGAAAGTCTCATTGATGGTTGGTATCATGACCCGGCATAGTACTATCATGGTACTAGGTAGATATCACTACAACTACATGCATTGTTGTCTGAATATGAATTTTAACATTGTTAAGTAGTAACCGCGGGTTAGTAGTAAAACCCTTTTTATTAAGCTATGCTGAATTCTCTGTAAGCGAGTGAGTACTCTAACTTTTGTTAGCAACTGTGTATGTTGGAGTTAACCCTTATCTCTGTGCTCCAACCGTACTATTAGGATTCTATCTGTGATTGAGCTCCAGAGCTAACTAACACTCGGATAAATTTTACTATAATGCTTAGCTGATGTACAAATGAACTCAATACAACCTCCCTCCTGTAGTATTCTAGGGAGCAAAGTAATTATGCTACTCTACGCTCTTGAGTTGGGGCTTTCCTAATCACTTATTAAATCGTGAATTGAAATCTAATGAGTCAAGTTTCTCTGTATGGTTCTTTTATAAAAGCTAACTGGTAGTTGTGGACTTAACTCTACTAGAGATACAACTCGAGCATAGTTCTCTGGAAGGATATTAATTGAAAAGTTTATCTTCTTTTATTCGGTGCTCTAGTTAAACATCTAAAACCTCCTTATCGAAAAAGTTAGTTTAACCCTTACCAACGCCTTAATTGCTTTTTTTTTTTCCCGGGAAATAACTCCAGAGCAGAGAAGATTTAAGAGCTTTTGGTAGAAGCACTATCGGAGGCTTCAAAAACCCTATATTGGATAACCGAGGTTTTGACCCTTTTGCCTTTTTTAGTTTTTTTTTTTTCATGTAATTATTTTAGTTTAATATATTAAATGACTACAAGTCTTTTTTTGATGCTCTTATTATTCATTCTTCTTACGTTTTGTAACTTTAGCATATTTTTTTATTAATCGTAGCCCCGACGGCTTAAAGATCGTAACTAAAATTTTATAATAAATGTTATATTAAATATATAAAATTTGACCATATTGAAGGTAATAAGTTACTCAAGTCAGTTTGAAAGCTGCCACTACACGCTTTCCTTTCAAAAATAACATTTAACCTATTTAGTTGAGAGGCTCTAAAGTTTGCTTTTATATTATAATTGCTTATTAACTAACTAGCGCTGATTATAAAATTTGTAGCAAACTGGTTATAACTCTAACTTAAGCTAATAACTAATGTTTCAAATTACCATGTAATCTTTTCTTTATCCTTAAATAAACAATGGCTAATAATTTATTTTTAAACTTAATGACGTAACAATTAGCTGACGTGTAGAATTTAACTCACATTCTTTAACAAAACTAGATCCAACATAATTGAACTCTAATAATTTTTATGTATTTTTTTAACTTTTTTTTAAGTTTATTATAAACCAACAAAAAAAATATTGATGATGTATATATATAGTAATGCCATTATATAATTTTATAGGAAGAAGAATTTTTATAATATTATACTTTACGAGCGACATATTAAAGTGTAAAATTTTTATAAAATATTGTAGAGGTTAAAAGGAAAATTTTTCTATGTATAATATTTTTTAACAATCCCTAGACTTAGCATTAGTAATTTGCAATTTATGTTATATAGCTCCCTGGTAGCAGTGTTACCAAAGTTATTAGTTTGTAAGCGACCTAAATTATAAGAACAACCAAATTCTTTTTATTATTTCTATTTATTTTTTTGAACTGTCTCTAAATAAAATTAAAGACGGGTTAAAAAAGCTAAGCTGAAGGTTTATATCGAACGTGAAGGGCACATTTTTAAATAATAATTATACTTGTCCACGTGGATGACTAAGAACTTGTTTAAGAGTTTGTGTTTTCTTAGTTGTTAACTCCAAAAGCACCAGAAAACTCTATCTATATACAAATATATATGATACACAGTAATTAGACTTCCTCCTAATACCGCAACACGTCACATTAAAGAAAAGAGCAACAAAAATCAGACAACCTCTTGCGAGGGTTGCTATCTTCACTTTTATTAACATTGGGATACCGTCCACATGATCAACATTTGTATATTTTTCATTTAATCATGAAGGGTGCGTTTATTAGTTAAACTCTTATCTCAGTTTGATCTATTTTTAGTAGTTAAAAAGTTTTTGTATTAGTGTATTTAAGTTTTGAATATCAAGAGAGTAAGTACCTAATCACTCATATATTTTGATGTTTTCGTACTTCCATATGTATTTTTTTGTTAAATTGTATTGTTGTTTGTTAGAATAACTTAATTTTTAATACCCCTTTTTAGTTTACTTAGAGTATAATATGTGGCCTGTGTATTAATATGGGCCTCTATAGCTTTGCTCTACTCAGGCTACGAGTATAAAATAAGTGCTTAATAATTTAAGTTACTCTCGCTAGCAAATATGCAAAAAATTAGGTTAGTACGTAACACCCCCTAACAATTTGTTAATTTCTTATACTTAGGCCTGATTGTACTGATGAAGGCATGTGCTAAACAATAAGCTTTAACTAGCGAAGTTTGTGACTACACCAGAAAAAATCATTTATATAATATAATTAAATTTACATAATTCTTAAAGAATATCCTTTATACTATACTCTTCTAACGGTTTAATACTTATCTGCCCTTTCAATCAAGTTAACTATGGAGACGCTAAATAACGTTCAACGTAAAAAAATATTTAGGTACATAGCATGGATTTCTTGGATGGCATAACTATATTTTTACACCTTTTTAAAAATCTGGTATAAATATTAATAATAAAGAAAGCAAGCTTTAAAATAGTCCTATTATAATTAGGACCCAAATAATTTAATAAATCTCTTTTTTTTTTAACGTTACACCTTTTTAAAAAACCTCTTTAGAGTTTCTTTTACCCATTCTAGCTTTTAAAAAAAAAGTAACTAAGTTCATCTACATCTTTTGTTTTAGGCTGATGTAAATACTTGGGCAATTACCGCCAGAAGTTCACTTTTTTGTAATTTTATATATTCGGTTATGTACGCTTATTTATTTATAACCATATTTCTTTAATCCGTACGAATATCAGTTACAACCTTTTTTTCTAAACTACGATATTTCGGAGTTTATAAGTTTTCACCTTATAGTTTCGGTTTGCTCTTTACTTTAATAACTCGTACTTGCGTATTAACCTGAAATCCCTTGAAGTTTTTATTGTGTTTTCATTACTTATTAAGAATATATGAAGGTGGTCACTTGTAAAAGGAAGACTTGAAGTTCCCCAAAAAAAATAATGACCTCGTTGTTTTCAGTAACTTAGATTTATCATATAATTTGGACAGTTTTTGAAGTATTAAAAAACTACGTAATACCTTTTTAGAAGTTGAATTTATTTGCCAAACGAGCGTTATTATATAAAGAAAAATTTAGAGGTTGGCGGTGATAGCGCGATATATATATATATATATAAGATTTTTAAATATGCTTCATCAAAAAGAAAATCTTTTGCCAGATCTACGGCAAAATGGTAAAGCGGTTTTATAATTTTCAATTTTTTGCTCACCTTCTCTATAAAGCAATGAAGTTTAATATTATATTAATGGTTGTATGTTAAAGCTTCCTGTTTATAATTTTTTTTAAAAAACTATAATTTTTGTTCATCAAAAAAAATTGCTTCTCCCACACTGTTTATATGAAACATTGGTTTTCTTAATTTCTGTTACCTTATTCAAAAAGTCTTAACAGTGGAAATAAAAAAAGTTTTCTATTTATTTCAATGCTTGCTTCTAGCTTAACTTTATAAAACTTCTTTCTATCTCTATTTTTTAATCCATTTTTAAAGTTTTCGCCTGAGATCACAGATGTTACTTGCGAGATGAAGTTATTTACTTTTTATTTACGTAATAATAAAGGCAAGTAATTTTTAATTAAAAAACTTTATTAGCTTTTTGTTGATTATATTTATAAATTTACTTGTAAGTATCGAGACAACTTTTGTAGTATAAAAAGGGGCTACTTAAAGGTTATTAGATCTAATTTTTTACCTTAGAATTGAAAATATTTATATAAAAGTAGTAAAAAGTGTTTAATAAAATAAAAAAGTAGCGTTTATCTAAAATCATTTTACGAAATGGTGAGGGATTATAACTAAAAAATAGTAAAGGCAGGCAAGGGAAGGGCAATAAGAAGGAAATAGTTTTCGTTATCTGGTTTTTATTTCTTGTAAAGAATAATTTTTTGGTTATATATTACACTGCTAGAAGCATCTTACTCAGTAGTACACTTTTTGCAACACTTAAATTTTTAATGGAGTCAATTGTGTTTCCGGAGATCACAGAAGATGCCATCGATGAGGTGTAAAATAAAAAAAAACTTAAATAACTAAGTTTTACTTATAACTAGAACACCTTTAAAATTTATTTTTTCTTTAAGGTTTTAGCAAGTAATGATCCTTTGGATTCTAAAAACTTTGATGTCGTAGAATATATAAATAATTTATTTCCTAGCGAAGAATCTTTAGGAAACATTGACTCAACTTTGGCCAATCTTAATGTTAAATTAAAGTTATAAAGTTTATATATACTTAATAGTAAATAACTTTTTACTGAAAGTTTTCTGTTTTAAGGCAAATTAATAAAGAAATAAAGGACATTACTTATGAGCAAGCCCGCTTTAACGGAGAAGACGGTTATTATTATTCCAATTAATACTTTACCTCCCGATTTCAATATTTGATGTAAAGGAGTAAATGCAATTGAAGATGCCCAACTTTTTATTCAACAACTGTTTTCAAAAATTAGTGATATTAAAACTAAAGCAATTTTATCTGATGAAATGGTGTTAATTTTAACTTTAAAAGTTTGTTTCTTTACCACAAAATTAATTAAATATTTTTTTTAATTGTAAAATATTTAACTTTAGACATTATCTAATAAGGCTCATCCATAACTATTTTACTTCATCTCATAATTTTTCAATATACAATTTTTCTTAACTTTTTATTTCTTTAATTTAACATAAAAATCTGTGAAATGTAACTTGTTAAATAATTTTAATTACATATATATATATTCAGTATTTTTAAATCTATTGTTTGTTTAATTAATTACTTTTGTATACTTGTACTTTTATACTTTGAACTTAAGTTTTTACAGTACCTTATCATAATTCAAAATTAAAGTTAAAAAAGGAAAGGTAAACTTTATTTGTGTTTTTTTAAAAAATTAGTATAATAAATTTGATTTTAAAAACTTTTTAAATGGTTTCACTTATTCTAATAAATTTTTTTAATTAAAAAGTTTTGTAATTAGTATAATAAATTTGATTTTTAAATACTTTTTAGATGGTTTCACATATTCTAATATATATTTTTAATTAAAAAGTGTTGTAATATAAATTATTTAAAGCTTTGCATAATAATAAGCATAATTTTGCCTAATTTTAAGCCAATATACTATAACTATATATATTTAGTTATTAAATCAGATAACTTGTTATTCTTAATTTAAACTGAGATTTGGTGCCAACTTTTAAATTTGACTAGAAAGTGAAAAAGTACCAAATAAGTTAAAAAAGAGTACGAAAGTAGCTTAATTGTAATAATATTAAGTTTACATTATAGCTCTGTAAAATTAAATACTTATTTATAAATTTACTCTAGATAATTTATTTTTTCTATTCTATTGTAATATTATAACATTTTTATTCTTATTTTAAAAAAAATAATTAAGGCGAATAATAAATATTAAAGAGAACATTATAAATACTTTTACTTATCTTTGAATAGTCAAACGTTTTTAATAGGAATCTTTTGAAACTTTATTAAATTCTTATTATAATACTGTAATAAAAACTTTTACATTATTGTAAATGCTATTATATATTATTATTTATATTTTTATTTTTTATACCAATAACTACAGTATTAAAAGACTTAATAACTATTGAAAAATATTCAATTTAAAATTTTCTTTTTACCGTTTTTTTATAAGAAATTTCAAAAATATCATAGAACAAAGGTTAAATGTTTGACATAATTCTTAGTTAAAATTTTTATTTACAGGAAATGTTAACGCTTATACTATTAACTGAAAAATATTATTATATAATATTTTCTAAGCAAAGTTTTTTTTTTGAAATTTAATATGAATTTTTATTGTATACTTCATTTTTGTCAATTTTTAAAATCTTTTTTTTTATACTTTGCTAAATTTTTTTGTAAAAGGTGCAAGAAATCACGAGAGATATAAAGTCTTTAGACTTTGCTAAGCGCAATCTGACAGCCTCTATAAATTCTTTGAATCGTCTTCATATGCTCGTAACATAAATACTGCACTTTAATCAAATTATTTTTATATAAAAGTTTTGCATAATTTTTTTTAATGCTGTGTTTAATTATAAAAATTTACATATAGAAGCTATTATCAAAATTTAAAATTATATTTTTATACAAAGATATATTAATAAAATGTTTAGCTTCACCTTTTTAAAATATATGTATTATGAAATAAGTTTTATTCTTGCATGTGTGCTCGTAATAAAAACTTTGATATATTTAACAAATACAAGCTTGCGGTTTAACTAGTGTCCAATCATTTTCTCGAGGTAGACTTCTAAACTGAAACGTGTTCTTTATGACGCGCCATTAAAAAAATTATTGGGTGAAGTCTACTTGGCATTATTTTTATTGGATCCATAGAAAGCTGTTTTACTTTATATAAATTTACTGATGTAACTCTTTTTATTATTTTATTAATTTTAAAATTTTTCTTATAAATACTTTTTGTTGTGTTGCTAATTATATTGAACTTTTAAATATATCTTTGTAAACATATTTAAACATGATTTCTGACTTTATTTATAATACTTAAAAACTTTTTTTTTATATGAGGAAAACAAAGTTTATAATAGTTTCATAAAAAAGTACTTTCCATTATTAAAATAATGGTTTTTGAATATGTAGAAGAGAAAAAATAATTTTTTGGTGTGACATATAAAAGTTTCATGTGAAAAAGTTGTGAAAAAAAAAAGTTGAAAATAACGCGTTTATAATACCAAAATAAAAGTTAAGGTACAAATTGCTACTTTATTGGTAATTTCAGATTAAGAATGTAAAAAGTAAGGATTTTATGCACTTTTATCCCCTTTTAAAAAATTTCCGACAAAAAAGTGTACTAATAATGGGGTTAAAAAGAGTACTTGACTGGTCCACTATCGCGTGTTCGTTAAGCCCATCATCTCTTGACTGAATTTTTATGAAAAGTTAACGCGCATAAAGAAAAGCATGTACGCATAGTTTAGTTGTTCTGTTATTTATATAATATAATAACAAGTAAAAAGAAAATGAGCAGGAAACGTAAAGAAATATATACTTTAAAGACGTGGAAAAAATAATTTTTAAAACAAAAAGTTCGCACGTGAATTTTGTTGGGGTTTTTCATAGATTTACAAAAACTTTCTTATAAAAACTCGTTAAAAGATAACTTTAACTTTAGAAGCTTTTCCTTATAAAATTTAATAATATTTTTTTAGATTTATCACACTTTTTTTATTTTTTTTAAATATTTTTTTTAAAACTTTATTATTACAACTTATTATAGTTTTACTAATAACTATTCTTGCTTCATTATTCTATTTCTAACTCCTAAAGATTGCGGGAGTGGAAAGTTTAAAAAATATGAGTGAAAAAAGACAATACCGGGACGCCGCTTATCTTCTTCAGGCGCTCAACCACATCATTCCTGAGTTTGACCGTTTTTCAGATATGAAAAAAGTGTGTTTTGATTGGTTGTTTTAAAAACTTTTCGTTTATTTGCACACTTTTATTATACCTCTACCAAATTAATATGAGCTTTTTAGTAGTTTTTATGATGTTTATTTATTTATATTATTTCATATATTATGATACTTTTTTATATAAACATATATTTACTCAAAAAAATTGCTCTATTTTTTTATTTTTTTAAGAAACGGCTAGCTTATTTTTTTTTTAGATCAAAGAAATTTATGATGAATTTCGTAAAACTCAAATTCTTTTAAAGCGGCAGGCTAGTTTTTTCAATTATTATTAAAATAAAATAAAAGTGTTATAATTGTTTTAGATAAGAGAAGAGTTTAGTGATTTTTGCTCAACAAAGCAAACTGTTTTTACTGTTGAAGTAAAAAAGTTATTACACGATGCTTGTTTGGTGCTAGAAGCGCTGGGAGAAGGTTGTTGTTTATTATTATTATTACTACTATTATTGACAGGATACACAAGTTTTAAATATATAATATTACTAAAAGCAATAAAAATGTTTTATTTTTTATTTTTTCTAATATAAAATAAACTTCAATACTTTAACAACAAATTACTAATTTTATTATAATATATTTATTTATATATATTAACTTTGCCTTATTGGCAGAAGTGGTGGCGGACCTTGTTGATTGGCTAATACGTTTGGAGTTGAATGAATATAAAATAATATTTTCCCCCAATTCTGAAGTAAACACATTATTTTAACTAATTTTTTGAGTCTCCTTAGCTGAGGACCAACCATATGGCTTTTTTTAAAGCTTAAATACTTACGCCTATCATTTTCGCTACTTGCTTTAATGGGCTAAGGACGCCTTTCTAATACACCTCTATTAACCAATAAAAATGCTCAATCATCCCTACTCTTCTCTATTAACCCAATCTGTTCCCAAGGCATCAGATTTGAATAAAGTAAAACGGAGATACACGTGGTGCAAGAGAGTTGGTATCAATAAATAACTTTATTATACAATCTGCGATCACTTTTACAATATATGGTTGCAATTAAATTTTTTAGTGTCTAATTTTGAAGAATGTTGGGCGGATGTATTTCCAGCTTCATGGAAGCTTAGCAAAAAACTTTTCCTAATGTTTTGTGCGTGGTGCCGGTGTTTATTATTATTATTATTATTATTTATTATTATTATTATTTTAAACTATCAATTAGTAAAAAAAAGTTGCCCTTTTTAAAAAACCTAAATTTTTTTTACAAATATTTAGCCTAAAAAGTTTTTTCAATAATATTAATAATAATTATTATTATAAACAGTAAAGATTTGAGCAATTTGTTAAAGCAAAATGAAGATTCTCTATCCGTTAAACTTCTTCTTTTACTGGTAATACTTTTATTATTACAATTATCATTATTAAGCTACTTATAAATTTACTAATAACAGCTTTAAAAACATTTATAGTAAACCTTTTACTTTTTATTTTTTTTATGATTTTTATATATTACACTTTTTATGAATTTCTTTTTTATTCAACACTTTTAAATTGTAATTATATTATAAATTATAGATTTAATATTACTTATTATAATAATGTAGAATTATAATTTTTTTTGAATTTTATAATATATGTTAAATTAATGGAATAAACATTATTATTATTATTATAAATTTATAATATTATAAAGGAACCATTTTTACTTTTATAGCAATATTTACTTTTCTTATAGCTTTTAAAAATGTGTTTTTCTATAAATAAAAGTTTACTTTTGATTATATATACTTTTATATATTATTATTATTTTTTAATAAGTAAATTATATAATAAATAAATAGAAATTTTTTTAGTTCTTTTAAAATATTTTTTATATAATTATATTATAATAATAAATTTGTTTATTTGTTATAATACATATAAGTAATTTAATTTTTTTTTGAGTTATTAAAAAATATTAAACTTATAAAAAGTATGTAATATAAAAAAATAAGAATTTTTAAAAAATTATAAGAATCGAAAAATATATTTTCAAAAAATATTTTATATCTTATATTTTTTATGTTAATTAAAAACATATATAATTATAAAATTATTTAACTTTATAATATTTTTAAAGGATTTATTAAAATAAATGTTTTATAAAGAAAACAATAAAAACAATAAGACTACATAAGTTTAATGAAATGAAATATAATAACTATTGTGAACTTTAGTAATGTCTATTAGAAAATATGATAATTATGTAATTTTTTTTAAAAAATGTAAAAGAATTTTTTATAATTAATATTAATTAAATAATTTTCAAGTATAATAATAATAATAAATTTATATTCTAAGATTAAAGAATATATATTTTTCAAATTAAAAAATATATACAGATTTAGAGAATTTTATACAAAATTATCTATTGAAGCAAACAATATTTAAAAATAAAAATAAAATAAATATAATAAACTTTAGTAAATCAAATAATTTATTTTAAAAAAATATTTAATATAATGCAAACTACTTTTATACAATTAATATTAAAATAAATAATAAAATACAATATGATAATAATAAACTTTAAAAATAAAGAAAATTAAAAATATATATTAAAATATTTAATAATAGTATAAACATTATATTTCTAAATTAGTTTTTTATAATAAATGGAAAATAAAATATGATAAATATAATAAATTCAAGATTTACACGTTTTATGTCAAAAATAATATAAAATTAGACTAATAACTGTTGGAACTCTGAATATTTTTATATTTGCGTGTAAGAAAATAATAGAATATAATAACTAACTATAATAAAAATATATATTTTTTTATTTATTTTACGTAGAAAAATTTAATATATTTTATAATATAAATATTACGAATTTTTATTTTGTATTTAAAAATATTAAAATCTGATATTAGTAATTATATAATAAATTTATATATTCACATACAAAAAATAGTTATTAAAAATATACTATATTAGAAAAAATAGTTATTATAAAAAATTTATAATTTTTTATATTTTGCATTAAAAAATATTAAAATCTGGTATTAATAATTAAATAGTAAAATTAAGCTATAATAATTATAAAGACAACATAATTTATATTTATTATAACTTAAAAAATATAAAACAATTATAAAAGTTATTGCAAAGAAAAAATATTTTTTAGATTTTCTAGTTAATAAAAACAATAAAATTTATATAATATAATAATTATATAAATATATAATTATTATAATAAATATGTATCTTTATTACAAGAGAAATAAATAAGTACGTCAAAAGTATTTATCCTATATTAAAAAATAATAAAATACAATAATAAAAGTTATAAAGAAATAGATTTAATATATTCTATTGATAAATATTAAGATCTAATTATTATAAAAATATTTAAAAAAATTAAATTAAATAATAGTTATTATAACGAAATATTATATAATATAACTTATTAATTAAAAAAAATTTATAAAAATGTATTTTATTAAAAAGTATATTAAAATCTAATAATGATTTAACTTAAAACTTATTATATTTAATTTTATAATGAAATAATGAAATTTATGTATTTTATTAAAAAATATAATGTTAATTATAAGGAAAATTAGTTTTTTTATTATATAAAAAATAAAAGTTGCGTTATGATAATTTATAAATTCATATATTTTTCGATAATAATAATAAAATAAAATATTTAGAATTTAGTACAAACAATATATAAATTACCAAAATTATGTATTTTATTAAAAAATGATTATTTATATTAAAAAATTTTTTCCAATTAATATTATTTATAATAGTTGTATTATAATAATTATGAATTCATATTTTTCGCAATAATAATCAAACAAAATATTTTAAATGTTAAAAAGTTGAAATCTAATATAATAAATATATAAAATATAAAAATAGAATAAAATTTACTACTAAGAATAATAAAAAGTAATTTTTTTTATATATATAAAAAAATTCATATAATAAAGAATTAATAATTTATATTATATACGATTAAGGTAATTAAAAAATATTTATAAATATAAATAAAACAAAAATTTTTATAGTCAATATAATAAATAAATAAAATACAATAAATTATACAATAAATGTATTTTTTTACAAAATTATATTCATAATTATAAGCAAATATTAATAAGTTTACTATTTGTTATAAAAAAATAAGAAAAGTATCATAGTAGTTATTATGAAGACTTAAAAAATTTATATACGAAATGATGACAATAATAATAATAAAAATCAAAAGTTATAAAAAAATTAAAAATTATAACGTCTAATATATAAATAATTTGATAATTATAAGAAATATTAATTATTTTTTTATTAATACAAAAATTTAAGAAAATATAATAATAGTAGTTATTATGATGATTCTAAAAGTTTATATACTAACAGATAATCATTATAATAATAAAATCAATAATTATAAAAATATTAAAAATTATTGCATTGAATAAATACATAATTAATATATTTATTACTATAAAAATTATATATGTTCTGTAATATTTACGATTATAAAGATAAACTATACATACGATAATTATTAAAAACTAAAATATTATAATTGTTGTCATAAATATTTTTTAAATTTCATTGAATTTTACGATGATAACAATTAATAATGATTATAATAATAATGAAAACTTAATATGGTTATTATAATAAAAATTTTATAAAATTTATATATTTTGTAATAAATAATAATATTAGTAATTATGAAAAAAAGTTCTAATTCATATTTTTTAATAGGAAAATATGAAAATATAATGTGTGAATTCAAATATTTTATAGTAAAAGTTAAAAATATATAGTAATGTTTCTTAAAAAGATACTTAAAATAATACTAATTTTAACAAAAATACGTATATAAAAAATAGATAATTATTATTTACTTGAATTTTTAAAATACTTTATTATATTAAAAATTATAATAAAAAAACTACTTTTGTTAACAATTCATATTTTTCAATATAAAAAAAAAATATATTAATAATTTTTATTCAGTTTTATAAAAATTTTTATATAACTTTTTTAATAATATTTAATAGTATTAGTTTGGAGAAGAAGTTTCTCTTGAAAAATAAATCTGTATATTTATATCAAGAAAAATAAGAAAATCATAATAGAATATAAAATATATATTATAAATTAAGAAAATAAGAAATTTCAAAGATATAATTTTAATATATATTTTATTGTATATATAAAAAATCATTACTTTTATAAAATATTTACATTTTCTATATTGAAAAGAATGCATTAATTTTTATAAATGTTTCATTAACTTTAATTTTTTTTATTAGATAAATATATATATATATATATACTAACAAGAAAAATAAGAAAATTATAATAGAAACAGAAAATTTATATATTATAGCTTAAGAAAAAAATTTATTCATATAACTTTTATAATTTTTTGTTATATATAAAAAAATACTACTTTTACTAAAAATTCATCTTTTCCATATTGCTAAATGAATATTATTGCTATTATAAGATTATAAGATTTTGTAAACTTTATTTTTATACATTAAAAAATAATTAAATAATGCTATTTTATATAATAACAAAATAATAATAGATCGGAGAAACACTAACTTTTGAGAAGCATTTGGCAACTCGCTTCCCAACTTTTCCAGAAGCTGTAAGCTTTATTTATTATGAACTTTAATAATATATTTATTATTTTTTTATATAAATATTAATATTTAATAAAAATTATAATAATAAAAATATTTTTTGTTATATTTTTATATATAGTTTTTTGTATATTAATATATATATTGATTGATACTAGTACAAGTTTTTTGTTCTATTATTAATTGTGTATATTTTTTCATTAGTAATAATAAAAGTTTTTTTGGTTCCACTTTTCTTATAGAGTATTTTTTTTTAGATTATTTGTATATAAATTAATATTACTATCCAATTCTAATAAAAGTTTTATGCTATATTTTTATATATATCGAATAGTTTTTTAATTATTTTTTGTATATTAATATTAATAATATTGTATACTATCAAATAGTTTTTAGATAATTTTTTTTTATGTTAATATCTAATAATAATAATAAAAGTTTTTGTTTCATTTTTTATTATATATAAAATAGATTTTAAGTTATTTTTTGCATATTAATATTAATATTTAGTAGTAATAATAATAAAAGTTTTTGCTTAAAATTTTTTATATTAAGGATACTTTGAAATTTTTTTTTATATATTAATTTCAATGTAAATAATAATAATTAATTAAAGTTTTTTATATATTAATATTAATATTAATATCAAATAATAATTATTTTTCTTGTTCACTTTTGTATGTTTATATTTTTTATAATATTTTTTAAAAAAAAATATCAAATATAATGTATTAACAAAAGTTTTTTGTTTTATTTTTTTATGTACAGAAAAAGTAATAATTATTTGCAGATAATATATTGATATTTAAATAAATAAGCATAATACGGTTAAGTATGATAAAATAATTAAAGTTTCTTGTTTTCAGTTATTAAATAAAACAGTTTTTAATTTATATTCTTTATGTTTCTATTAGTAATCATCTTAAAAATTTCTTTTGAATTTATTTTTTTAATAAAATATAAATAATTAAAAAAAACTTTTATTATTATTAAACATTATTATTGTTAATATACAAAAATATAATCTATAAATGTTTTTATATAAACAAATAAAGAGAAAAACTATTATATTTATATTAATAATATTTAATAGTAATAATAACAGTTTATTGTTTTACCTTTTTATATAAAAAACAATTTCCAGTATTTTATTGAATATATATAAATATTTTAAAAAATTTTTAACAAATACCCTCAAATATTGAGAACTAGTATAAAAATTTATACCTCATTTCTTATATAAACAAATAATATTGCAAAATATTTAGTAGTAATAAAAGTTTTTGTTTCGTTTTAACATATACAAAATGGTTTTTAGAATAATTCTCTATATTGTATACCCGTGGACTTGACCCTCGAGGGCTAAATGTTATGTGTATTTTGTAATGGCTCGCTCTTCATTTTATTTTTTTTTTGTTGTTTTCGCTTTAAGTGCGGTGCTTTCGAGGAGTTTTTCAATCAAATTTATTTTGAATTTGAGTCTTTAATAACTTTATATAATAATTATTATAATGATTTCATTTTATTAATATTAATATAAATTACTAATAAACTTTTATTTTCATTATATTTTATTTATTTTTACTTCGAAGTTCTTTTTTTATTTATTTTAAATTAATATATTATACTTCATACTCTATTTTATAAATTATAGTTTACAATAATTATTAGATTTGGAGCCCAAGACTAGTAAATAAAACACGGAAAATTAAAAATACTTAATTTTTTTTTTTGTTTTTTATATATAATATAGTTTTTAGTTTTTTATTTTCATATAAATATAATAATCATATAATAATAATGAAAGTTTTTGGTATATATAATAATATTTCGTATTTTTATGCTTCTTTCTATATACTAGTTTATAGAATATTATTGTGTATATTAATACTAACATTTACTAATATATAAATATTTTTTTCTTTTTAATGTATTAAAAATAATTTTAATTTTTTATTTTATTATTATCTTTTTTTATATTAACTATCATGAGTTTTTATTAGCAAAATAAACTTATTACTATTAATGGTTTCTTTAATTCTTATAAATATATTTTTATTTACTTTTTTTTTAAGTATTATTATAAAGAAAAATTTACAAAAATTATAATTTTTTTATTATTTGTTTTATGATTATAAAATATTATATGTTATTATTATTTTTAAAAATCTTAACTATATTTTATTATAATTATTTATATAATTTTTATATTTATTTTAACGATTTTTAGTTATTAATTTTTTTTAATTACTTTTTTTATAATTAAGGGTTATAATAAATATAGTAACACTTAAATTTTTTTTTAGAAAAACATTTTTATTTATATAGTACAATATTTTTAACTAAAAAGTTTCTGAGTAAATATTTTGTTTGTTAATTTCTTTTTATTGTTTTTTATTTTTTATTTCTTTTTTTCTTTATAAAAAATATTTTTATTTATCTCCATATTATTTATATTTATTATCGTTTTCAATATTTTATTTATTTATTTTATTAAATAAACTTTTTTATATTACTTTTTTAATATTACAGTAATTTGATTATTTTTAAATTTTTTAACATTCTGTATTGCTTATTCATACTTTTATTGATAAATACTTTATATCTTTTACTTATTATTTTTTATAATATTTTTATATATATTAAAAATTAAAAATTTTTTATTATTATATATTTAATAGTAAACTTTATATATATATTTTATCAAACCTTTTTTAATATATTTATAATGATTATTTTTATTCCCTACTATAATATTATATTACATTATTTATATATTATTTTCTTAAAAAAGTTTTTAAGTATTCCTGGTTTATTATTATTATTAGAAAGAAACTGAATTTGAAGGCATCATTTCAAGTTGCTTCGAAGCGTACATGAATATTTACGTTGAAGCTCAAGAAAAGTATTAAACTTTCTTTATAAATTTTATTTACTATGATTATTAAGACTTTATACTTTTATTAACTCTGCTTTTTTGTTTATATAACTTTTTTGTTATTATTATAATAATAATATTTTTTGTTATAATTATTATGCTTTAAAAAATAATAATAAGGTTTATGTTCTTATTAAGAATATATACTTTTAACTCTACTATTTTCTTTACTTCGTAACTTTTTAGTTATTATGTTTTAGCATACCATAATTATTTTATTATTATATTATAGATTTTTAATATACTGTTATTTTTATATAACTTATGTGATTATTATTATTAAAGTTATATATATTTTACGATTACTTTAACAAACTATTATTTTATTACACAATCTTTACTGAATAATAATTAAACTTTTATTATTTATGTATATCCTTTAATATAATATATTTATTACACTTTACTTTTTAACTTATTATTAATGTTACATGTAATCTTTATACTTTAATTCTTATTTAATAGTTGTACTAATGCTATTTTAGTGAATCTTTACTTCAGCCTTCATTCTTTTCTTGAAATTTTATCATTATTTTATACAAATATTATTATTAAGCTTTTTTTATTTTTTGTTTAAAAAATAATTTACTTTCACTTATTGAATATTATTGTAGTATAATATTTATCAGTAGTTATTACTTGCTAACTTTTAGTATTATTATTTAATATAATAATTAAAATATAGTAATTTTTCTTTAATTTTTTATTAAAATTATTAGCAGTAGTAATTGTAGCCTTTACTTTTTAACTTTTATTATAATTAATAATGTAAAAAGATTTTCATTTTTCTTTTATGAAAATTATTATTTATAATATTTATTATTAGTTTTTGCTTGTCGACTTTTCTTATTATTATTGCAATGAATAATTTATAGTTATAATTTTTTTTTTCACTTTTTTATAAATAATAATTATGAGTAGTTTTTACATGTTTGCTTATTATTATTATAGTGGTTATTTATAGTATATTCTTTACTTTTTATCAGAGTTATTATTATCTTCCTTATTAGTATTAGTAGTTTTGCTTATCCGCTTTTAGTAATATTATTATAATGGATAATATATAGTGATTTCTACTTTTTTATTACATTTATTATAATTAACAATAATTATTAGTAGTTTTTTTTATATCTAAGTTTTCTTTTTCTAATTATTATCTTTATAATTCATAATAATCATCTATAACTTCTATTATTATAAATAAATAAATATTAATGGAATTTATTTTTAGGCTTTTTTATACTATAGATATTTTCAGTGCTTTCTTTTTACTTTTCAGCTTTTCATTTATAATTATTATTACAAGAAATTATTAATAGTCTTTCCTTTTAACTTTAATTTTAATTATAAATAGTAATAACATTTCAATTCCTATTATTATTATAATAATGAATAGTTATAAATAGTTTTTATCATAAACAAGTATTAGTAGTTTCTACTTTTCAACTTTTCTTATTATTATTGTTATATAGTTTTTACCTCAACTACTATTAATATTATTATAATGAGTAGTAATTATATATTTTTACTTATTAACTTTGATTATATTATTACTACTTTATATAGAATACTTTCTACTTTAGTAGAAGAGGCTGTTTCTGATGCAAAGAAAACCCAAAAGTCTTTTCCTGTAGAAAAAAATGCTTTATTATCATTGGGCACTGCAAAAGTTTATTTTTTTACTTTTAATTATTTTGTATATATATATTTTTATTGTATTTATTATTTTTACTTTATAGTATATTTCTACTATTTTTAAAGTTTTTATCTTTTTTCTATTAATATTTTAATATTATTTATACATATAAATTGTAAACGTTTATTCGTTCTATATGTATAACCGTATTATGAATGTTTGCTTATTATTTTTATTATTACAATAAATATTATCATTTTATTAACTATGAAAACAGCACAAAAGTTAATTTTACAATAATAAACAGTAAAATTTTTATGCATTAATTTTTATAAATGTTGAGAATTAGCAGAAAAAAATAAAAGTTGTTATTTGTATAACTTTTTAAATATAATAAAACTTTTGTAAAGTATTTTTTAAATGTGAAACAATTTATATATAAGTAAATAAAAATAAATATTATTATTATATTTTTATATTATTGTTATTAAAAATATTATTGCGATCAATAATAATGTTGAATTTGTTTTCATATAACAAAAATATTTTGCATAATTTTTTTGGTGAAAATAATTTTATTATTATTTTATTTCTCTTATTATTATTTTTAAAATTAAAAAATATTAATAGTATTGGAGTTGTTTGATATAAATATAATAAATATTCTATTATTACTGTTATTATATTATACTTTTATAAAATATTATGTTGCTTTTCTTAATTTTTTATTTATATAATAAATATTATATATTTTTCTTTTGTTATTTTTATAATAATATTGAAAAATATAAGTATACCAGTTTTCTAAATATAAAAGTCATATAACATTAATGTTATATTAATAATCATAATTAAAGAACAATATCTACTACATCGAATAGGAAAAATTAATAATTTTATATTTACTTTTACTTAATATTCAATTATTTATTGTTTAAAAGTTGGTTAAGTATATAAATAATTATTTGCACAATTTTTATTAATACAATATATTATTTTTATATTTATAATAATTTTTTACTGTAAATGTATATATATACTTTTAATATTTTATTTTCCTTTTAAAATTTTTTTTTTTACTTTTATTATATATAATCTTTTTAAACTTTTTATTATACTTATTATATATTTTTATAAATATTTATAGTGCACCTAAACTTTATATATATTTATATTAAAATATTTTAATAAATATGAATTGTATAAAAGTTTGAGTTGATAAAAAGTATTATATTAACTTTTATAATAAGAATTATAATATTTTTATAATTATTTTAATAAACCTTTCCTTGAAAAATTCTTATTAATGTAATATTTACTTTAATAGTAATATTTATTATATTTTTTATTTTTATTTTTATAAAATATTATTAAAAAATGTTGGTTACAAATTTTATTAGTATAATTAATATTTAAATATTATTCCACTTTTTAGCATAATTATTGTTTTATGTATTATCTTAGTAAATTTCATGACTATTATCAAAATATTACTTACAATATAAAATTTATATAAAAATAATACGATTTATGTTTTTTTTTGGAATATTATTAAAAAAAAGTAAAAAAAAATAATAAAATTATATAACTTTTATTTTTATAATATATTTATATTTACTTTTATATATATCTCTATTAAATATTTTATTGTAAATAATAAAACTTGTAATTTAATTTTATATTTGATTATTTATAATTTTTATAATATATTATTTTGTATTATTTAATATTATTTTAAAAGTTTTATTGTTTATTTATTAAAAATATAATTATTATAATAAAATAATTATTTATACATTTGAAATACTTCTTTCTTTAATTATTATCATTACTATTAATATTATTATGTCAAGTTAGCTTATTATTTTTATAGGTGCTTTCATCTTCTTCTGAACTTTTCCTTTTCTACAAAGATTGTTTTCTGCAGGTTTAAAAATATATTAACAATAATAATAATAACTATAGTAATGATAGTAATATTAATACTTTTTTATTAGTGTTCTTTAATAAGCAACAAGGAAACGATGTACCAACTTTTTCTAGTATGTTTTTAAAATATTTTTTGTTATTGGGAAGTTTCTTATTATTATATATAATATTTAAAATTTCTTCTTAACAATACAATATAATATTGAGTTGTTTCTTACTATTATTTAAAATATTATTTATAAGTTTTTATTAAATAATATTATTGATAATATCTTCATAACAATACAATATATTAATTAGTTTCTTACTATTATTTAAAATATTATTTATAACTTTTTTATTACAATGAATGTTATTAATAAGTTTTTATTATTATCTAAAATATAATTTATAACTTTTTTATTACTATCAAATGTATTATTTATTAGTTTATTACTATATAAAATATTTATAAAATTTTTATTACTATAGAATATATTATATATAAGTTTCTTATTACTTAATATATGATTTATCTTTTTTAATTTCTATAGAATATTTGTTAATAAATTTTTCTTATCATTATCTAAAATATTATTTACTATTTATTTATTTTTTTTTGTTAAAAAAATAGGTTTTCAGTAATTATCTCAATACTTACCTTGTAAAAGTTCTTCGAGGCACAATTCCCTACCGGTGTTTTAATAATTATAAGAAAATGATAACAAAATATTATTAACTATTAAAAAATAAAAATAATAATATAAAATTATAACAATATTATATGATGAATTTAAAAATTAAAAAATTATAGTTAAATAATGATAAGAATAATAATATAATATAAATAATAATAAATAGGAATTCCCTTTTGACTGCTCTTCCAATAAATAAACTTTCATTTCAAGACTTTTATTATATTTGCTCGTTGTTGAACACTGCAGATTATATCATTGAGATGCTCCAGCAGGTTTACTTATTATTATTATTTTTGTGTATAATTATACTTAAAACTTTTATTATAATTATTAATAACGTTCTCATTTTTTAATATATATAAGTACTTTTCATAATTTTTTCAATATAATCTTTTTAATAACTTTTATTATTTTTATATTTTAATATTAATAAATTTTATACTTTTAATTATAATATTTTTTTATTTTTATAAAATTACATGTTAATGACTTACAATTTTTGTACGTAAATACTTTTATACCTATTTTATAACTTTATATTATTTTCAAAACTTTTTATAATAATAGATAAAATTTTTATATAAATTTTACGTATAAATACTTTTTGTAACTTTTTATTCTGATAAATATTAAAATTTTTAGAATAATTACATGTAAACTTTAATATTTTTATAATAATTACTTTTATACTTTTTTATGTTCAAAACATAAAAATAGTAAATATGTTTATTGTAAATCTTTTTTTGAAAATATAAAAATATGATATTATATATTATTCTATTAACAAACACGAAATGTTTTATTATTTATCACTAATATTTTTTATTTTTTATTAAATTATATCTGTTTTATATTTTTATTTATATTTTTTATTATTATAAACAAAATATATATAAATATACTGTACGAATGTATAGTTTATCTTTTTTATATTATTATTTTTACTTTTCATCATTATAAAAAATATTAATAACTAATTTATATCGTAACATTTTTTAATATTCACAATTCCTTGTATTTTTTTGTTTACCTCAATATTTTAATAAATATAATAATGTTTTAATAATAAAAAAGTTTTACTTTTCACTTTTTTTTTCAGTATTACTTTAATAATGTTTATTTTACTTATAACTTTTTATTAACTTTCATACTTATATAATATTTATTAAGACTTGTATATTTCTTTGATAACTTTTATTTTTTATATTATTTATTAATTTTATTTTTAATACAATATTTTATATCTTTTTACTTATTAATAATATTATTATATACTTTATAAATATTATAATTCCTGATTACTTTTATTATTATAATTATTTATTATTAACAAAATATATATTTTTATTAATTATATATATATTTAATTATAAATTTAAATACACTTTTACTTTTTCTTTTATATATTTTGTTTATTTATAAACTTTTATATGTAAAATATATTATATTTATAAAAACTTCATACTCTATTTATAGTTAAATCATTATATTAATTTATATATTTTTTTCCTTCATGTATTATTTTATATTATATACAATATCTATAAAAACGTATATATTATATTATATATTAATTTTTTATTATTATCATTTACTTTATTATTTATTTCTAGATCATAAATAATTATTATTATCTTTTATAATAAATTTTTTTTATATACTATTTTTTTACTTGTAAAGATTTTTCCTTTCGCTATTTATTTGATATTTATTTAAATAAAAATATTATTACTACTATAATTAGTGATTTACCTGTTTTCTATATAATTATTTATATATAGTTTGTACTTTTTACTAATTTTTATATTAATTTTTTTATAACCCTTTATACTTTTTATCGTAAATACATTGTTATATGTATTTTTTTTTTAATTTTTATATTTATAAAACTTTATTGTTATTACTTATAATTAACTTTTATACTTATTTTATCTATCCATAATATTTTGATATTTTATATTCTATTCATTATTAATTATTTTTTTATATAATAAACTTTGTTTCCTTATATTTATTAATTCAGAATATTTCGATATTTTATCTACTTTTAATTATTTATTATTTTGTTTTTTAATAGTTTTCCTTTTCTTTATATAATTATTTTTTTTACTTTTTATTAATTATTATTTTTTTTATACTTTTTTTTATATTATATCAAAATTTCCAAAATAATTATATTATTAATATTTACTACTATTTATGTATTTCTTAACTTTTTTAAATTTTATGACCAATTAAAATTTTGTTTATTTTTTTTTTTTTACTTTTTATTATATATATATTTAATATATTATGTTTTGAGTGTTGTAATTATTTTTGACAATAAAAAAAACTTTATTATCTTTTATCATAATTATAATATTTTTATTAATATACACGTATGATTATTATTATCATGTCAAATTACTTTCTTTTACTGTTTTTGTAATAATTATTGTTATTATCATATATAAAAAAAAATTTATAATTTGTTAATAAAAATTATATAACTTTTACTTATTATTATCTTTACTTATTTATAGTATAATAAATATACTAAATAAATATTATTAAAAATATGTTATTTATTAATATATTACTACTTATAAACTATTTTCTTTTCGCTGTTTACATTTTTATTAAAATAGGAAATAACTTTTATTAGATTTGTAAAACTTTTTATCATATTTTTCATCATGAAAAACTACTTCATCTACTTTTTGGCTATTTTTATTTTTTTTATGTAAAACGTATTTATTATTTATGATTATTAAAAAAATAAATAAAGCTTTTACTTTTATTATTTATTAATATTTTCTTAATATATTTTTTATACATTATTATTAATATAACTTTTTTATTTATTACTATTATTACTTTATACTAGCTGGAAATAAAGTTTAAAGAAAAAATTGATAAAGTTTATGTTGAAAAAATTAACTTAACAAAAACTTCCGAAGTCGTTTACGAGTTATTGTTTATAATACTTTTATTATTATAAATATATTTAATTTTTTATTATAAATATTATTTACTTTATATTTTTTTATAAACTAAAAAAGATAACAAAATATAATAATAAAAATAGTAAATATAAATAATAAAAGTTAGTTAATAATAAAATATATATAAGAAATGTATAAAAATAATGTTAAACTAAGTTTTTATATAGTAATTTATATCTACTTTTACTATTTATTATGTATAATAATATATCTTTTTTTGATGTATATATATATTGACTATTTACTAGTATAATATCGGAAGCTCTTCAAGTTTTATTAAGAAGTTTTGATACTTCTTTTGAGGATGTTTTATCAAAGTATATAGAAAAGCTTTTCCATTTTTTATTTTTTGTATGAAAATGGTTGTATATTTTTTTTAGATTTTCGTTTTTAGTAATAATATTTTCATTCAAGAAATAATATTATAAATAATATTATTATATATAAATTTAAAATTATTGTTATTATAATATATTATGTTACGTTTATTATTATCATTATGAATCATTATATTTTTATTTTTACTTTATAGTTCTTATAACTATTATTATAGTTTATAAGTAGATTTTTTTCTGCTCTAAAATTATTATTATTATTATTATTATTATTATTATTATTATTATTATTATTATATTTCTTTAAGAATAAAGCGGATCTCGTGGAGTACTTTGGAAGTTGTAGGCGATTGCTCTGGTTATGTTGAAAGTTTTTATGCAATACTAATGAGGTTGTAAACTTTTTAAAATATTTCTCGTGTATAACTTTTTCTTGCATTTATTGACCTAAAAAATTTTCACTATTTTTTTATTTATCAACTTTTAACAAAATAAATGTATTTTAATTAAGAATTTTTATTGGGTCCTTTAATTCAATTTTGTTTTATTGGTTCATTTATTTCTCAGATTTTATAAGTTCATTAATTATTATTATATTTTTTACTTCATTAAATTTATTATTATATTTTACTTTACTGAAGTTTTAATATAGTAAATGTCTTTCCTATTATTGCCTTGTGAATATTAATTTTTATTGCTTGTATTTTTTGCAGCAAGTTTATTGGTTAATTAACTTTATTTATTAATTAATTGGTTTATATCAATATTTATAATGTCGTTACATTTCTTTCTTTTTGTTTATTATTTTCTTAATACTCCTTTAGTCTTCGCGTATAAAAACTTTTTTTTTGGATACAAAACATTATTTTTTCTTTTCCTTTTTTTTTCGTTAAATTATATTATTTTTAAAAATGCAAGTAACTTTTTTTTTAATGTGAAACAAACTGATTTATTATTATTATTATTATTATTATTATTATTATTATTATTATTATTATTATTATTATTATTATTATTATTATTATTATTATTATTATTATTATTATTATTATTATAGCTCTATTCCTATCATTCGTGAGGGAATCGATAAGGAAAGCCAAAAATATTTAAATAATATTTGCCTTAAACTAGCCAAGTACTTTACTATTTATTACAATTAATTATGTTTATTATTATTATTTCAGTTTTAAAAGTTTTTTTTTTTAAAATATATTCAAATTAATATTTATTAATTATAATTTATTTATTATTAATGACTTTATTTATTGTTGATTATATAATTATTATACCTCAAATTTATATTTTTGTTTATATTATTTCTCATATACTATTTTATTATTTATTAATTTGTACTATTTTTATAGTAATTTTTTATTAATATAATGTATATTTATTATTATTACTCTAAAGAAATAATGTAAAAAAATTGTTTATTTTTATAAATCGTTATTATGATATTATTACTATTTTATTTTAAAATTTATATTTCACTTTTCTTATTTTCTATTATATTTTTTATATGTTAATATTACTTTAATAATTATTTCTTTATAACAATAACTTGATATTATTATTACATATTAAAATATAATTTTTAAAAAATTTTGTTTAGTCTTAAAAAACGTTATTTTTAATAATAAATTATATATTTATTAATAGTATTATTATAACTATTATTCCAGTTTAAAAGTACCCGTCATTTATTTTATTATTTTATATCATAATCCACTTTATTATTAAATATATTATTATTATTTCAGTTGAAAAAATAATTTTTCGCTATTAATTTTTTCTTATTGTTATTGATTACTTTATTACTTATTAATATTACTGATCGTACTATATTTAAAAAAATATTTTATGTTGTACAAATATTATAAATACTATAAAATTTTATTATTATTATTTAATAATGATGAAATAGTTTAATACAAAATAATATTAAAAGCTTATTAATTATTTTATATAAAGCTAAAATAATTTTCATATTTTTAAAGAAATTTATAAACTTTATTATTATTTTAACTTTATCAATTTTTTCAGTACTTTTATTTCAAGTTATACAAATACTTTATATCAATGCCAAGTTTCTATACCCGGCGCTGAGCAGGTTTATATAATATTTATTATTATTATTATTATTATTATTATTATTATTATTATTATTATTATTATTATTATTATTATTATTATTATTATTATTATTATTATTATTATTAAACTTTGTATCATAAAAAAAATTCTTTGTATTACCTTTTGTAGTTCATTTCTTTTTCTATATTTTATTAACTTTTAGTTTTTATTAAATATCATTTTATTAAAACAGTTAATATCTTTCAAAAAAATTTTATTATAATAATATTTTCTCTAACCTTTTCATATATATTTATTTTACAGTAAAACTTTTTTTTATTTTTCTTTATTAGTTTTCATTTAAGTATTATATATATTAATATTTTATTTTTATTTTATTTTTTATATGTTTAGAAATTATTTATTATCTCTTTTTCTACTTTTTATTAATATGAAATATTTCGTTTATAATAAAAATTTTTCTTCTTCAGTTTAAAGTTTTACTTTATAATATTTCTAAATAAAACTTTTTTAATATTTTTATTTTACTTTGTTATTATATTTTTATAACTTTTACTTTTTATTTATTTTATTAGTTTATTAATAACTTTCATTTTACATCATTTTTTTACGTTTTTATTTAAACTATTTTACTTTTCTGAAAAGCATTAACTATTCATTTATATCAGGTTGACTTATATAATATTTACTATTAACTTTCATATATTTTGGTATTTTTTATTATATTTTATATATTTTTTTAATATTTTAAATATTTTTTTTAACTTTATTTAAACTTTTTGTATGAAGATGCTTCTGGACTGCCACCAAATAAAGCAATATCTTCTCAAACTTCATAATATTGACTTTCCTGAAAACAGTGTACCCATTCCCTCCAGGTTTTATATATCTATAAAAACTTCACCTGATTAGCTTAAGTAAAAACTTTTAAGAGAATTTCACTTTTACTGGCGTGTTTCGCTAAATATTCAGATAATATAATAAAAAGACTATTCAACTCTCAAAGATAAACTTCGCATACTTTTACTGCAAATATCAGCAATTCTAATTAGCCAATAAAAGCAGTTGTTCAGAAATTCGCTGATCCGTTTTTCATTTTTTCAATACTTTTTTTAAATAATGACTTATTTTGCCTCTCTTAATAATAATTCGGTCTTTCTTACTCTCTAACAAATATCAGTTGTCCTTTCACAAGTTTAATTGGTGCATCCCACTTCATTTTGCGTTTCATTGGCCTCTTTATTAAGAAAACCAAAAAAGTTCGTAAAAACAAAAAACTTTTGTTTTAAAAGGTTCATAAAAAGTTAAATAAATACCATTAAAAGTTATAAACGAATAAAAAATAATTATAAATTATATAATTCTTGTTAAGTATAAAATAATGAAGTATAATAATACCGCGGAAAAGTATAGTAATGAATAATAGCTTTAATGTGTATAAAGTAGAATACTTGTTATTATTATAAAAGAATTATTAATCAAAAATATTATAATTAGAGATAAACAGTTATTATTATAATGAAAAGAAACTTCGTTTACAATAAAAAAAGTTAATATTACTATTAAAATAAAAATATTATATAGATAAACTTTTCTTAGAATAAGAAACTTATAATATTAGAAAAAAAATAAGAAATTATAAAAAATAAAAAACTTTCGTTTAAGAATAAAAACTTATTATAATTATTAAAAAATATAAAAATAAAAATTATACTCAATAATTAATAAATAATAATTCATTTTAGTAAAAAAAAATAAAACTTTCATTTTGAGAAACTCATTATTATTATAAATAAAATAAAAAAGTTAGATAATATAGATAAACAGATATTATTTCTAAAAGTTTTAATTTTAGAGTAAAAAATTTATTATTATTATAAAGATAGAAATTAAAATAATATACTTATAATGATAATAAGCTAACAGTTGCTGATATAAAAAGTTAAAGTATGAAAAAATATATTAAAATATACTAAAAATAAAATTAATATTAAAAATATAAAAAAACATGAATATGTTTGTCTTTTCAACATCTACTGACTTTCTCGTTGCTTTATTTTTTATATTTATTGACTATAAAAAACCGAGTAAGAAGTATTAAAAAAATTAACTATAATAACTTTTTTTAAAAAAGTAAACACATTTATATTAATATTAAAAATATGTTTTTATAGTTCTTTTTTTTATAATAAAAGTTTATATAGATAGATGTGATTGAATATATTTTTACTGTTAAAAAATTGATTACTAAGTTTATGTTTTTATAAGTTTTTTTTATAGTTGATAACATTGGTGATTAATATTTTCTTATTACCCATTTCATTGGATTTTATTGTTTAAAAATAGCTTTTATCAATATTTTTATGTGACTAACAAATTTATCTCAACTATAAAAAGTTACAGCAAATATATCAGTAAAGTTATGAATAAACTCGAGTTGTCCTTGAAAGTTTTGATGTCCGCGGAAACTCCAGTCGAAGTATTATTGTTATTATTATTATTATTATTATTATTATTATTATTATTATTATTATTATTATTATTATTATTATTATTATTATTATTATTATTATTATTATCATTATTATTATTATTATATTATCATTAATATATTTATTAATTGTTATAGTCATTCGTGATTAACTTTATTGATTTGCATCCTGAAAACGATTCACTTTTATTCAGAAAACTTCTTTCTATGAAGGTTCCTTATTTACTGCTCTAATTAGTTTTCCTCGTTTTTAATTTATTAATAATTTTTATAAATTAAATATTAATACTTCTTTTTTGCTTATAATAGAAAAAGAGGTCAACGAATTTATTTTAAATTTTTAGATTTTCTATAAATTTGTTTCTGTTATTTATTTTTTACTTTTGAACAATAAACAAAAAAAATTTTTTTTAATTCTTTTACATTTATTTAAATATAAATATAAAGGGGTATTCAAAAAGCGAAGAACAGATTCTTCTTGACAGATTCACATCTGAAATTGCTAATTCTAATTCTGTTTGTTTATTATCATTATTATTATCATTATTATTATTATTATCATTAAAGCTGAAAGAAGAAGGGAAAGAGGAAAACGAAATTGATTGCTCCGTTCTGAAGCGATTAGAAGATTTTATAAAAAATAGTTAGCAGTGCTTTTAATTTAAATACGGTCACAATATTTTATCTCCTAATTTTATTTATTACTAATAAAAATTAAAATAAAAAATTACTATTTTACCAGTTTGCGCTGTTGGTAGAAAAAGTTAATTGAGTGTGGAATTTTTTAACTAAAATAAAAGTTATAATTATCTTTCCTATATTTAAAATTTAAAATACATACTCAACTTATTATTGCAATTCTTTTTTTCAAAAGTAATAAATTTAATTTTCTTTATCGAAAAGATGACTCTAATGTACTTCAAATGTAAGAAAATTTATAGTTTTTCCTTACTTCTTTTAACGCTAATTTATTAATCATAATACTTTATTCAATAGATAATGTACAAAATCTAACACTTTTGAGCTGATAGAAAAGAATGCTTCCTACTAAAATCAATAGTCGCTAAAACTAATATTCAATTGTTTGCTTAATAATAACTAAAATCCAAAAATATTATAAAAGGAATCGATATAGGTAATACTAATCTTTATATAATTGTAATTAAGAAAAATCCTTTCTGTATTTCGTTTTTGTTAGTATAAATTATAACAATACTATTTATTATTTACTTATTTACTTAAAAATGAATAAAAGTCTACTCTTTTAAGGCATTAATTATAACTGCGACTAGAAATATTACAATTATAAATAAACAGATTTTTGCCTTATTATAGTATACTAGTATGGAAAGTAATTGGTGTACACAGTAAGTAATAATCTATTCCCCGAATTCTGCTCTAAGAATTCTTAAACTTCAAGCGGTTCCAAAAAGTAGAATTCTTATAGCCGAGGATTTAATATAGTTGGCTTAAACTAGTAAATTCATCATTTAACACTTGTGGAGAATTGGAAGAAAAGTAAAACAATTACGTATAGTCTTTTTAGCCTTTTAAATATTATCCGACCAATACCAACGTCTTAAAATATAATACCATACTTTCCTTTTAACTACTAAGCCCTCAAGAAACTTTAAAAATAAACCTGTTATTTAAAACTATCATGTAACAAGCTATAAATACTGTTTATAACAATACATAGGCTCAATAGTAGCAACTTATTAAAAACTTAAATACCTGGAGGTCTACCATAACACAAGGCCTATGTATTTAGATTTTATTGTCCGCAGATTATACCTGTGTTCCATAACCGGCAAACAGTTGGCGTGAAATAAAACTCTCCCATAATTTTTTAAAAAAAAAGATAAAAAGAGAGAAAAGAAAAATGTTTCAGGACATTTAGTAAACTTACTAAAAGTAGAAAGAATCAACCCAAAGGGAAAAAGGCATATGAATCTGTTTTTTTTTTCTAATATTATTGGGATAAATAAAAGTTAACGAACTTTAACTATTCGGAAAGTTTAGGGTCTGTAATACTAAAACCGCTAGGCTCTGTACAGAGAATTCTTGTTGTACAATTTAAACACTTTCTTAGTTAACTTCTATAAGTTGCTATAATTATAATACCAACAGCCGAAATCTGACTCTAAAAAGAACTTATCTTCAGCAAAAATAAGTTTTAAGCTTATATAGCGCCCATCTTCTCTGCTATTACCTACAAAAAGGAGCATCATTCATATGTAATAATAGTTGCTAACGGGGAAGTCAATACTAATTCTAATTCCCTATAAGTTTAAAGCAATATTTTGAAAGTTGTGAACTGGCGCTATAAAAAGTTGACTAACTTTGAAGTTTTTATTAATACTAAACACGGCCTAGGACGGTGACTTGGAGCTATTAATTAGCCTTTTCCAGCTCATTTTTCGGGTTCCGCTTTGTTAACTTTTTTTTGTAGGCGTTTTATACTTTTTAACTGCCCTTCTTCTAATGTTGATTAACCCATCTGAAATGCCATGAAGAGTTATGTATTTATTTATTGATAAATGACAGTTCCTGACTGACGATAAAAATTCTACTCGAGCTCTTAACCAGGGTGATCGCAGACATTACGATATAGCTTTTAATCGAAAAGGTGTCAACTTCTTAAAATAACAGACAAATACTAGCGCTAACGCGTGTCACGGAGGCGGCGACAACGCGCCATGGCTTGTAAATAAGTTCACTCACCAGCAGGCGACGTCTAAAGATTCCAGCTGAAGGTCCTGGTAAAGAGTTTCACTTCGCACACGCAGCAATTTGTTCTGTTACACTTGTACCGACGCTATTGCAGTGGAGTCGTAGGTTCAAGCAGCAGACGCGTATGTCATTATTGGCTGGATGTGACATACAATTGCCGTTTGTTTCGCAGAAATAGCTTACTCTTGCTGCATAGTAAAGGGTAAAGCGCCTTAGATGCTTGCCTTGACTTCGCCACTAGATAATCCACGTGCAGCGGCCGGGAAAGTTGGCAATGTCGACTCCCAGGTATTTAGTCTGAGAACACCGCGGAATCTTCGCGCCATCAAAAGTTAAAAGCGCCAAAAAAAGAACGAGTTTCTTAGTAATCAAAACGCTTTGTTCTTCGTCGCGTTTATGGAAACTTTCCAATTAAGGCAACAGTAAACAAGGACGTCAATAAGTCCTGTCGATACTTGCATAGCAAAGCGGGAGACTTCGACGATGAGTAAACGGCGGTAACATTGGCGTGGAGGTCGATTCGTGAATGTGGATTTGACGACAAGGGCACGTCTCTCTTATAAAATGCAAATAAAAGGGGCGAAAGAAAAAATCCCTAAGGGTCTCTGCTGGCAGAGATCGCAGCGGCGACTGTGTACCTCCTACGCGCACGCCGAAGACGCGGTCATTTTAATATGACTCCAGCACGTGGTAAAGTTCATGAGGAGCAGATAACGAGAGCAGTTGTGCGGTAACCTTCATGCCAAACTTGATTAAATGCTTTTTCAGCGTCAAGTAAGACGGCGCCTATAGCCTTCTTAAAGTTTAAAGCGCCAGTGGTTCATTCAGTTAAGCGAAGGAGCTGCTGGGTCGTTGAGTGCCCTTGCCAAATTCAAATTTAAACTCTGGCAAGGCGTCCAGAGCGTCAATGACCTCTTTTAGACGGCGCAGTAAAATGGACTCGCCTACTTTGCTAACCGCCAAGAGGGGGATTGATGGATCGGCACTTGCTAGTTGCTGCTTTCGGTTTAAATGTCTTTGGCAGCCTCCCAACGGTCGCCGTCTTCCATCGGACTGGAAAGGACCATGGAACCTCGCAGATTTTACAGGTAGGTACAGATAATACTTCCCTGTTAATGGCAATTTCTTCAGCATCGGGGCCAGGCACTGTTCGTTTGGATAGCGTTTCGACAAACGCTTGAACCTTGCCAACATAAACTAGCTCAAGTGGTTTGTGGACATCGGGAAGGGAAGCTCAGCTGAGAGAGCGCATTAGTGGCAGTTAAATGGCAGCTGGCACTTATTGGGTAGCAAGGAGGTTAGCGAAAAGCGTAGCTTTGTCTTCATCCCTCGGCCTCTATATTTCCATCACGAAGGGGTGGTGGTGCAAGTCCCCGATTTTTAATCTTTTTAAGAAATTTTTAAAAGGAAAAACGCAGCTGTTGCCTAATAGTGATATATGGTGCAGCTTGGCCTCCAATTCATTGTTAAAATGGGCCATTAACTACTTTCTTATGCACTTATGCAGTCGATTAAGCGCAAGTTTGGCTTCGGCGTTCTACCAAAAACATGTCCGCTCGGATAAGACGTAGACGTTGCCAAATAAGTACCTTTGGTTCGTCAGGCGGGCGATCGGGGCCGTCGTTACTTCACTAGTTGCCGTGTAGTCGTGCGAGTCATGTTCAGTGCGCTTTCGAATAAGTCGATAGCATCACCCTGCAGGGATGTAGACGGTAGTGACGCACACGGCGAGAGAGTGGCTTTTAAAATCTCAGCATATTTCTTCCAGTTGGTAAAAAATGTGTGGTAGTCCTCAGTGTGTCATTCTTATCGCCTAATTCGATAATAACTGGAAGGCGATCATAGGACAGCTCGCTGGACGCTTCAAATGCCGTTGTGAGGCGTATATCTTTTAGTATGGAAATATCCAGGAAGTTCATTGTGTCTGTACTCGCCAAGTGTGTTGGTTGCGGGGGGCCTAGTATGCACAGCCCGTGCTCACAGCGTAAGCCTCAAGGAGGTGGCCATTCGAATTATCGGTTCGGCTTTCCCAAGAAGGGTTGCAACCGAGATCCACACACAAAACAGCTGAGGAGGAGTCACTCGCAAAGATGGCGCCAAAATCGGAGGGCGGTAGTAGCTTCCAAGGGGATTTATAGACAGCGATCACATAGACACGGGCCCCTGGTCTTCCAAACGTGTGGAAATTTCCATTGCCTCGAGATTTTGTAGAGCGGGAGCGGGCAGAGATATCGAGGGTTGTTGAATGTTCCTTTTTACCAAGACAGCCATGTCCCTCCGCGTGCATCGATTCCTGTCTTGGCGATACGCAACAAAGTTGCACACCTTAAATGCGACGTTTGGAAAGAGGGTGCGCCTCGTTGATGGCGCAAAGATCAATTCTTTCAATTTGTAACAGCTCCTGTAGATATGAAAAGTTATATTTGCTAAATAAATTATTAAGATCTTCAGTGTCTTTTTCCCATTTTCCAACTTAAAAATTCATTACTTACTAAGTTAAATAATATATATGCACAAACTTAAATAAATCTTTTTATAATTAATTAAAAGGGTTAAGGCTCTTTATATGAACAGACTAATATTTATTTAAGATATAACATGGCTCTAAATTCATCTTTATTGAGAAATCCAGTGCCGCTTTTGTTGGACTCTCTTAACATTTCATAAAGTTCATCATCCTCAATATCTTTTCCTAAGAAGAAATTGTTATTTCATATATAACCCAAAGTTTATTTAATTAATGTATAACGCCACCCAAAGTATTTAATACTGCTCGAAGTTCTTCCATACTTATTAGACCATCTTTGTTTTTATCAATTAATTCAAAAGCCTCTTGTGCTTCACCTTCGGCGGAAAGCCCTTGGAGTTTCCCGTTTATTTCTTCGAGAAATTGTGTCAGAGATATTTTTTGTTCTTCCATTGTATCATCTTTTTGAAACTCTTCCCTTATTTGTATATCCAAGTCTTGGCTAACAGCCTCTAAAATATAAAAATTAGATAGGTAAGGAGTTTTTAATTCTAAAAATTGTGTTAGTAACCATATGTTAGAGCTAAAAAACTATATAAAATTCATTGCTACCCCACTCTCGTAAAGTGAGTAGCCCGTCACTATCTTCGTCAAAGAGAGAAAATACGTGTTCCAGGTCCCTTTGCAACTTTTTCTTATTAACCCCAACTCTATCCTCAATTGTTGCCATTGTACGCAGTTTACTTCTACCTTTATTTAAATTTGTCTGGCGCCCAGTATTTATGGAGCGCAGTCCCACATTTCTTACATACTTTAAAGGACTTTTAGATAGTTAGTTATATGAAGTGACTTTTATTGCTTGTCATTATTGCCTTTTATTTGGTATTAAAAATTTAGAGGCGCGTAAAAAAGTTTTAATGCGAGTTAAAAATATATCTAGTTTTCTTAAAGATCATCTCTTTCTTAGTAAACACCAAAAAATCTTGTAAATTTTTTATCATTTACTTTCGTTTAATAACAAACTTTGCTTTTTAACCTATTATCCAATTTTAGAAACTTCAATGTTATAGTTAATTTAAATATCTAATAGTATTAAGTTAGGACAAGTTTTTGACTTATATTCTTTATTACTATGAGCCACATAATAGCCAGAATCTTATACTCTTTTACTGGATTTCTCAAATCTAAACTTTGAACAACCTACCAGAGTTTTACTTAAAATATCCGAAAACTTAAATTACATCCATAAAAAATTATACCAAATAAAAGAAACAGGATTAAACTCGCTACTCTTGTATTTTAAATTGATTTAACTTAACTATTCTTTTTATTAATGTTTACTTGGAGCCCACTTTAGAGAAACAAAGTTACTAGGTGCGCTCAGCCAATTAGAATGTTTATTTAAGCTTACAAGCGCGCAGTAATGTTATTTATGGTTTGCATTGCGTTGCTATCAGTTTAAATGTGGTAAACAAAACGTCACTCGACCCCAAGCTGTTCTTAGGTGCGGTAAAGTAATAAACCAGTTTTCCTCTCTCTTATATAACACATTAGTTATAGGCACTACAGTTTAACTTTGACTTCTAGAGGAGTGAGCTAGAATTAACAGAAAAAATATAAGAAACTGTTTAAAACAGATAAGTTTGTAGGGAATGTTTAGTTAAAAGAAATCGTTGTATATCTAAAATTAAATTTTTGCTTTGAGTGTTTCATAATCTCTTTATAGTCTTTAGGGATGAAATTAGTAGATAACAGTTTAAAAGCCATGAAGTTGTTTAAGCAATGTGTCATATCTTTATTCGCTAGTGTAGTACTAAGAGAAAATTATATAATCTACGTGCCTAGTGTCATGCTCTTTTTAACTATCCTGCTTGTGTAAAGTGCTACACTAAATATAAATTGACTTCTTTACATTTAAAAAATTTTCGGTAAAACCTTTTTGTAACCTTGTTGCCTCAATAACGAGATATGGAAAGCCCTAAAAAAACTACTGGAATCTAACTTACGAAAGCATGTAAGTAATGCCACGCGGCCCAAGACTTTCCTATTTAAGCACTTTACCCCAACGATTTACTTTTACCCACGTGCATATAAGCAACTTGGCCAGCTACAGAAGAGCTTGAGTTTTGTTCATCCGTCTCTTCTCCTATTGTCAGCTCTGTTCTGTTCTTATAAATTCATTTTTTTTTTTTGCTCTTGTCACTTTATATTAAATAAATATATATTTTTCTTCTGTTATTGGTGCTTTTCTATATGTTGTACAACCCCTTTCCATCCGTAAAGGTCAAAAAACCACCCTTTGGTTCGTTACACTATAACCGTCTCTACTGATCGTTTTAGAATAAGTGCTGTGCTCTCAAAACGATGTCCACTTTTGTAACCTAATCACAATTGCAATTTTTAATTCTGGCCTAAACATGCATTATCTATCAAAGACTAAAAATTATCTTAAGGCAAAGTATAGATTTAGATCCTAAGTATGCAAATTAACGGAGGGGGCATTACATAAATGCACATTTTTGTTTTTTTTTGATAAAACTAGACTTCATATGTGTAAAATAAAGAGAAAAGTGTGTGAGAAAAAGTAAAAAATAAAAAGAATATGCCTTAAACTTTTAAATGCTTGAAAAGTTAAACTCACTAAATTACGAAATATTAAAATTTCACTTGATAAACGTACTTGTTAACGTTATCGATTTGCTAGGGAAAAAAATATGGAAAGAGAAAAACTGTAGGCTGTCCAAAGCCAGCTGCTATATAATATTTTAAGTAAATCCTTAAAAGAATAAATTCAAAACTTCTTTCATGGTATTATACCTCTGTGCTTCTTTATATAAACCATCTAGAAAAGTGTTTTTCCAATTTTTTTTTAAAAAAAGTATAATTAAAGGGTTTATCTGTGCTTACATTTCCATCTTAAAATTCTAAAGTTTGAACTTATTAAATTTTATAGAAACCAGGATATTATAGGATATACCATACTTATAAAGCTTAAGCGTTTAAAAAAAAGCTAATTTTTGCTCACCAACTGGTTATAAACATTGTTAAAGATGAGAATAATAAATTGACAAAAAAGTTTGCAGTTCTCCTTTAAGTTATTAAATATACCTTATTTTACTTTATTGCAGGGGGAGTTACAGCCGGACTACACACCAAACAGAATGTTTTACTAATGCTAAAAAACTTGATAGTGTAAGATCAGGTGAAAAGCTCTCGCTATTTGATGACCGTGAGCGAACAGGAAATAGCGTAAGGTTAACTGCTTTTAAGAACGACTGCCAGAAGTTTTGAAGCTGCTGAGGAAAAACGTTACCTATCGACATTTGCATGTTATTTCTTAAAATACGACTTTTTATTTCTTTAACTATACAATTTTGATTTTTAGAATTGTTATTTTATTATTAGGTATTGGGAAACTTATTTTTGGTAGACTGGAAATTTTTTTTTTTAATAAGGTATAATTATAATTGTTTATTAATAGATTATCATAATAATAGGTGCCCCGCAAGGATGTAACTTTAGTTTTAATTTTTACTTATATTTTGGTCTTTTATTTTACAATTTAATTATTTATATTTGGTATAATACTTATAGAATATTTGTTAGTTAATCTTTATAATCTTCTACCAATTTTATATTATTGATTTCTAAATGCTTTTGCTGTTATTTAATTAAATAAATACGTAATAATATCATTTTTTTTGTTTATTATATGTATATTGAACAGCTTAAGTCTTTGTAAATTTACTTGTTAAAATTTCCATATATAGAATTTGGTTTATATTATTTATTATATAAACTTATAATAGATTTTTTTATACCACATACATATCTGTTTTTATACACTAACCTTACTTTTTGTTTAACTCTTTTTCCTTGCCTTCAAATTAATCTTAAATATTTAAATGTTAAAAAGGTATTTTTCTAGGTTTCGTTCAACTTTCTTACTTATTTTTTACCTTATGAATTGTATTTTTATACTCTATACATTTTTTTGTATATAGAATTTTTAATTTATGTGACTTTCAAACTTAAAGAAATAAGTTGTTCATTTAGCATATTTTTAAGAATTAAACTTTGTTGAGCTTACCCTCTCCCCCATTCTAATCGGTTCCCGAGAGATAATTTTTCTACTTAAATTAGTATTTATAAAGCTGAATTGATATTAAACCTGGAAGTCATAAAAATATTTCCCCACTAATAAAAAGTTACGTTTTTTTAGTGCTTCATGCTTTAGTTTATCTTTTTTAAAAAATCTTCAAGTTTTGAAATTTATAGTATTTGTTATTATTATAATAAATTTGTATACTAAGATATACTGAAGATCATTCTGCCTATCTTTTGTGCCTGTTATACTTCTGCATAGTTTTATAGTTAATAATATTTTTACTATACATAGGTATTATATTACTTAATTTTTTATGGTAAATATTATGTTTGCATATAGCTTTCAACAAAGCAATGGTTGCTCCTAATATATTAACGACAGAAAGCCAAACACAACTAAGTAAAGTGTCTATTTCGGAGGTAAACTAAATAGTAAATTAATCAATGTTAAGAATATTTCTGTGAAAAAATTTATTAATGGAGTTAATATAAAAAAGCGTACCTTTTTAATATTATTAGACCCAATCATCTTTTTTTAATAATATTGTTAGACTGTTATTGGCCAGGGTGGCTCAGAAATTTATGTTAAATGGATTAAAACAAGACTCTTCGATGTACTTTTTTATATATGATTGGCTGTTATATTTTTCCCATAAAAAATTATGGAAATAAAATTAAGACGGTTATCGCTGCGCTTCCTCACGGTTCGCCCCTATCAAACTCATTATGGATTAGTAAAGGCATACACTTATTGTCAATATTATTAAATTTTAAATTGTTCATATAATTTTTAATAGTATTCGTTATTATAATAGTACTTTACTGTTTTTATGATAGATATCTTATTTTTAAGTTATTTGAATAATATTTTATATATGTTATTATTAATATTGTTACTATAGTAATCTATTACGCTATAATATTATATATTAAATGTTTTTAAAATAACTATTATCAAAGTACCGATATTTGTATTTGTTTATAATAATATTATTACATTTTCTATATTTCTTGTTTATGGAAAGTATAAAATAATATTCTATAATTGTTTACGATTACTTTGTTATATAATTTATTATCACATATTATTATATCATTTATTTTATTATTTTTTTTATTATACGCATTACTATAATAATGTATAAAAATATTATTTATTATTCGTTTATTATTATTTAGTTGCAGTTATAGTTTTGTATTAACTGTTTAAAAGTTATGTAAAATATATATTTTTTATAATTTCAATAGTTTTTTCAATAATAACACTTTTATAGTTTGGTATGAGTATTATTACACACTACTAGTGCAGTAATAACAGTTTAATAATACGATATATGGAAAGTTTGTTAACACTATTAATATTTAGTTTATTGGTATAATAGAACATTAATACTTTTTAAATAATATTGTTACTATGTATTTCTTTATTATAATATTTAAAGTTTGTTTATAATATAAATAATGATAATTTCATTTCTATAATAAATAATATAAATTACTATTTTATATATTATTATATATAAATTTTAGATATATGAACTATAACTAGTACTCTTCTATATTTTATTATTCACATAACAATTCATATGTATTCAAAAATTATAGTATTACTGTCTTATCTTTTATTATACATGATATGTAATTTAAATAATAATATTTAAATAGCTATTGAAAAAAAGTACGGCTTTTAAATTTTGTTATTCAATATTTTTATATGTATTGAAACTATTATAGTGTTACTCTTATATATTTTGTTATACAACATTTACTATGTACAAAAAATATGATAGTGCACTATTTTATATTCTACTAACCATAATTTCTCATATTGATATTATTTTAAAATGTATTGTATAATATCACTATTTTATAATTTACTAAACATAGTTTTTCATATGTATTGAAAATATTCTATATTATTAATAATATATTCAGTAAAACTATAAGTTATTCATTTTGCTATAAAAATCTTGTAAAATAAGTATAATTATTATAAGGTTATATATGTATTTAGTATTTAGTATTATTAAATTATATTTTTAATAATAAAACCTTTAAAGTTATAAAAAAATATCATTGCTTTCCTATATTAAAGTTTTTCTATATTAAATATATTCATTATCAAGTAATAATAATATTTTATCTCCAATTTTATTGTTTTACATATTTATTACTGTAATAATATTAACTACTAAAAAACTATAACAATATATTAATAATATTATTGTTTTACCAGTAAATAGATTTTTATTATTATGCTTAAAATTTCCTTAGTATTATTATAAAACTTTAATATCTTCAAAATTATTATAGGTTTGTTAATAGTTTATAATAATAGTATTAGGTTAATAAAAAGTTTTTTTATATTGATAAAAGTACTGCTACATTTATTACACGAAATAACATATATATTGCTCTATTGAAACATTGACTATTTCTAAATAATTTATATATATTATATTCTTTTTGTATAATTATAATATTAATAAATATATGATATGTCTTTAATAATTCCTTTCCATAGTAGTATTTTTATAGTATACAAAATATTTTTAAACTTTTTAAAAAAACGTTAATAGCTGTTAAAATCATAATAATTACATAAATATAGCAAAAGTTATAGCAATTGGCATAAACTTTTGTCTTTTTTTATTACTTTTTAATTCTAATTTTTATTTATTGATACAAATTTCTATTATTAATTATATTTTTATAAACTTCTTACTTTTTTAGTTATACTAATATTTTAATGAAATAATTATTATAATTATATTCATTTATAATAAACTAGTTGTATTATATTAATATATATGACAGTATTTTACTAATAAACTTTTAGTAATCCGTTTACTCTAAATATAAAAATTAAAAAAAAAAGTTGGTCTTGTATATAAAAATATTTAAAAACAACTCAACATTTAAAAACACATATATTAATTTTCTAACAGATAAAGGAAAAACTTTCATTAATTATAATGAAAATATTGAGAATACAAATTTTCACATCGAGCCTCCGATGATAATTAATCCGCACTTTCCCAACATTGTCATCCTACTTTCTAGTGATTTTGAAAATTTTATCGTTACTCGAGGTTCCTTATTATTATTATTATTATTATTATTATTATTATTATTATTATTATTATTATTATTATTATTATTATTATTATTATTATTATTATTATTATTATGATTATTTTAGACGGGGGAGCTACTTGGAATATTCATTATTTTCCTGCTGACTTAAAAGTTAATGGCGCTAAGTGGTATTTTCATCCCACCAATGAGGATTATATTCTTCTCTTAACCGGTTTTGACCCTTATAAAAGTGTATTGGTTTTTATATTAAATTATTATGGTTATTATTATTACTCTTATTACTCTTATTACTATTATTACTATTATTATTATTATTATTCGTGTAATACTTATGGAAACGTCTTATAATTTGTTTTTAAAGAGCGTCAATAAAAAGGTTAAATTAATTATTATTTTTAAAATAAATTTAAGTGCTTTTTTCAATATAAAAAAAAAGGTTCTAATAAAAGGTAGCATGTTTTTTACTATTATTAATATTAGTTCTCTTCATAACTACTTTTAGTTCTAATAAAAGCTATTAAATTATTACTTGTATATGAATCTATTTACAAATTTTACATTCTACGAAATGCATATTATTTATTATTATTGATATAATATTCATTATTATTATTTCTTCTCATAACTTCCTTCAGTCCTTTATCGTTATTTAAAAGATTATAATATAAATTTTTTAAAGAATACTTATTTTATAATATTATAAAATTTTAATTAAAAGTAATATAATCTTAAATATAGATAAAAGTCACAAAACGTAAATCATAGTTATTGTTAAATTTTTGAGAAATTTATTAAAAATTTATCAATAAAAATAAATGTTAAAGTAAAAATAATAGAGTTATATACATATAAAAGCTTAACAAATAAATGTTTAGTTTTCAAAGAAAATAATACAACCAAAAACCTTACAAACGTATTTTTACTAAAAAAATATTTATTATAAAATATTGACGAAAACCATTAGAAAGTAATTTATAGAACCTTTAATCCTTCTTATAATTGGTGAAATTCATATTTTTATAAAATTTATTATTATATAATAATCTTAATCATAAGTATGTCTTTATTGTAATTATTATTTTATTTTTTTATTAATATTATCCAATAGCTTCATTTAACCACTGATTTTGGTGCCAATTGGAACTTAAATGTCGCCTATAATGTTAATGAAGCCAAATGGGGCTCTTATAACTTCCATACAGAAAAAACTGTCTTTTTTTCGCTCGATAATAACTTTAAAGGTTCATATATATATAAAGTTTTTCTTTTACTTGCACTTTTTTACTTCGTATTCTTTTTTTATTATTATTAATATTATATAAAATATTAAGATTGGAAAACTAAATTTCTCCAATTAAACTTTTATTTCAATTTATTTGTTAATATTTCGTTGATTAAAATATTATTCAAATTTTATTTACTATTATATTTTATTATTTTTTTAAACTTTGTATTAATAACACTATAATATTTAGAAATTTATGTAAATTTAAATAAAAAATATGAAAATGTTAAAAAATATTATTATAATAAACTATATTAATATTTTTAAAAACTTTATCAATTTTATTTTTATTTAAAAAAACTTATTAAAAATTTTTATAAATTATTTATTATAAATTTTTTATTATTAGTTGTCTATCATAATATTTTCTATATAAAAAACTTAACTTTTTTTTAAAAAAAAGTTATTACCTGATATTACATATTAATTTCTTCTATGTCTACTTTTAATATTATGATAAACTATTTGGTTCATAAACTTTTTTTTTAAACACTTTTATTAACTTAATGAAGTCTTTTATAAACTTTTTATAATTTTTTATTTTATTAGCGCTTTTATAAACGTTTTATAAAATTTTTCATACTTTATAAAGTCTTTTACAAACTTTATTATTATTTATTTATTTATTAACACTTTTAAAACTTTTCTTGATTAATAATTTATAAAGTTTTACATATATTAATTATTTTTTTATATTTTTATTTTAGTGTTTTTTCTATACTTCTACTTTATCAATATTTTAAAGTTTTCTTTAATTTTATATTTTATTAACTTTATAAAATCTTTTAAAACTTTTATATTTTAAATTTTTTAAAACACTTTTAACCTTGATAAAGTCTTTTATAAAATTTAACTATTTCTATTTATTTTTTTAGAGCACACGTATGATTTATACTATACTGACGATCTTTTTGCCACGAGGACACTACTACGCCAAAGAATATCAGAATTTTCGTTGCTGAAAAATATTCTTTTTGTAACTGTTCCAGTTGAAAACGTACTTTTGTAGCACTTTTATATTATTTGCTTAAAATTTTATTTTTATAGAAAGTGTTTCAAACATTAAAAATTACCACACTTTTGTTTATCATTATTATTTGAGAACATATAAATTTTCTTTTATGTATTGTTTTTAAAAAAAAAATAAAAGTATACGTGTAGTTATCATTTTTAAATTTTTTTTACTTAATAAAACTGCAAACTTAGTAACTTTTAAAAACTTTTATATTCAAAAAATTATTCTCTATTGTTATTTCTTTTATATATAAAAGTAATATAACGATATGTTATTAAAAGTATTTATATAAATAGTCTTTATAAAAGTTACAAAAATTATGCTTTTACTTATAACTATTAAGTTGCTTTAGAAAGGAAAATCTTTGTAAAAAGTTTCTATTAATTGGCCCTTTCTCATCCATTTAAATTTTATTAAGTTCACTATAAATTTATACGGGCTGTTAAATTGGCCTCTTCTGTTCTGGGGGTTTTTTTTTTATTAATATTGCGCCCCTAAGTTTATTTATTGTGTTTTATTATTAACGTTTTCAAAGAGAAACGATATAAAAATAACTTTATTAGTTCTTTACTACAATAAAAACTAATTTGTTCCGAATAAGGAGAAAAAAATAATTTGTAGCCCTTAGAATAACCAGTAATATTTCTTTCTTTTTACTTTTTGTGTTGTGTTTCTCTTATGTATCAATAAAATTTTATTAAATTATTTTTTAAGTTTTTAATTTTCTGAATTTCTTTTAAAGTTTTACAATTATTATAATGGTAAATTTTAATATATTGCAATAAATAGAGTTTTTAGTAATAAAAGTTGGTTTCTTGTATAGATTATAATAGAAACTATCAAATTTTTTAGCATTATTGAAACTTGTAATAATAATATTTATATAAATGCTTCAAGTATAATAATAGTGAAATTTTAATAACGTTAAGTTTTTAATAGTCATATATCTGATAATAATTACGAATAAACTTTTATTTTTTATAAGTATAATTTATATGTCGATTAATAAGTTAATGATAATAGTTATGTAGTTTTTATTATTGTACTATTTTTAATGAAACTAAAAATATTAATAATTAATAATATTTTTTATTTTGTATTATTTAAAGGAATACTAATAATAATAATTGCTATGGATTTGTAGAGTTTACAGCTGCACGTGTGCACCAATTCTAACACTAGCGGAACTCTGCATTGGAATCGCGCCCATTTTCCGCTGGACGTTTCGGTTTTTTTTTTTATTCATGTTTTTTAACGAAAAATTTATTTTATTTTTTGTTTGTTGTAACAAATATACGGAATATTATTATATTTTTATATACTATTAATATTTTTAAAATTTTATTGTATTATAATAGAAATATGCTCTTTTAATAGTTGCTTTCTACGATAATTAAACTTGATAACTATTTTTTTGCAAATATATTTTTTCATTATTTTTGTATATATTACGTAGAACAATTTTTTTCACTTCTTTTTGTTATTACTTTTTATTTTTTTATTATTATTGTGGTATATTAATTTTTTTAAATTATTATTAGTATTTTATATAAATTGCTTAAATGTTTTTATCACTACTTTTTTATTAGCTCAAACGTTGTCAATATTATTACAACCCTGAGAAAATATTTTATTTTAAATTTTTATAATATAATAAACTTATAAAAAAAATACTATTTCTTAATTTTTATAATAACTTTTTTATCCATTCTTTATTATAATAGTGTTATTATTATATTTTGATGTGTGTTTGTAATTGGATATTTATATTTATTATTATAAGTAGTGAACAATTATAGTTCGTGCTATTCTTTATAAACACATGATATATATATATATATATTAATATAAAAAACTTATAGTGTTTACTATTAAAGTCTGTCAATATTGAAAAGTTGCTACAGAACAACTTCTCTATAAATCCATTAAAATTGCAACAGAAAAATGAATTACACTATTCGTTGTTTTTACTTTTTTAAGCGACCCAACAAAAATAGCATTTTAAATGCTTAATAGCGCTCTAATGAATTGATAACTGTAAGAGTAAAGGTGAAGCAGAGAAACTTGTTATAATTATTATTTATTATATTTTTTTAAGTTGAATTCGTTTTATTCACTAAAGTTTCGTTATTGTTATCATTATATGTCTCGCGCAGCGCAGTTAAATCAATTATTAATCGCGAAATTATGCGGAATTTATTTTTAAGCAACCTCCCACGTGAGTCCTCGTCAAACAATCAACAGCGTTCCTTTACTAAAGATTGCGCCAAGTGTTGGTTTTAAAGGCGTCTATTAAGACATTAAATTTTTTTCTTCTAATACTTGGTTTCCATGGGCGTAAATCTTTTTTCTGTTAGCCAATAAAATTTAAGCGGTTATTTATGTTTATACTGAAACCTCCTTAATGTCTTATAATTTTTACTATTCATTACTGATTTACTATCAATAATACTTGTTGAAAAGTTAATAATTTTCTTGGTGAAATACTATTTTATTATAATATTTAAACATAAGTTTAATCGCGTAACTTTTATTACGATTTTCTTTATTCATTAATATTATAACACAAATGTTTAAATTTTTTATTTACAGGAGGTTCATAATAAAACTGGCATTGAATTCGCTTATGATATTCTTGAGGAATCATGTATGCTTCCGTTTTGTTTGTGTTGACGATTTACCATATATAGTAGTATTTAACGCTTAAATAAAGTTTATATTTTTTCTTAAAAATACCTCTATAAAGACCGTGCAGTTTTCGTTATTTTTTCCTTCTATATATACTATAATCGCAAGAATAACTAATAAACTGATACCTTAATCGAAACAAAAGTGAACATAAAACTCTATTAGTTTCGGCGCAGTTAATTTTTTTCTTTAAAATTTTATTAAAATAATTAGAAAGGCCAACACTTGGGGCCATAGATTCTTCAATTTTATTTATTTTATATATATAAGATGGATCCGTATTTATCAGCGTGGTCAATGGGAGAATAAATATTACTGATAAGATCGCATTAACTTCAGTTTCGTAAAGTTTTTTGCTATTCTTTGTATATTTTTATCTTTCCATACTAATTGCTTATTAGTTACAATTTTTTTTTTTACCTTTTATTTTTATTTTAATGAATTATAAAAAAATTTTATATATTTATTTATATTTCTTTAATTTACTTTTTTTATTATTACACTTCAGTTTTTCTACTTATTTTTATTTTACTTTTTATTATATATCCTTTTTTTCTTTATAGATATAATTTTATTTTTTATCCCTTCTTAGAATTCTGCTTTTTTATATATTTTATTAAAAGAATATATTTCCTATTATGAAAGCCTTCATGTTTTTAGTATATTTAACAAATTTTATAAAAAAAAATTAATAAATATAATATTTAATAAACAATAAAAGTATTTTACTTTTTAATTATTATTTACTTTTTTTACTTTACTTTTCTTTACTTTTATTATTATAATTTATTTCTGATTTATTTTTTTATTGTTACAAATTTAATATATTTTATTTTTTTTTTAATTATTATCGTTAACATTTTTTTGTGTCGAAAGTAAAAATTTTTCGGCTAATAAATTATTTTTTGTTTAATTTACAGTAAAAATCTGTAAATTTCTATATAAAAAATAAAGAAAATTTTAAAAATTTCTAATTTTTAGTTATTTTTATTTATTACTGTTTTATTATTATTAAGTTTTATTTGTTTTAGTATTTTTGTAACTAAAAAGTTTATATTTTTATCTGTTGTGTACTTTATTTGAATATTTTATTCAAAAAAACTTATATTTATTCTTATACTGTAATAATATTTATATTTATACATTTACATATTATTAAACTTTTTAGTAAGTTCTTTTCTATTATACACTTTTTATTAACATTTATTAGTTCATTTATTTTACTATTTATAAAATATGTGCTTTTACTTTTATAAATATATTATATTAAGACTTATTTTTTCAGCAATTATTACTTTTATTAAGTTTAATGTTTACTTTCTATTATATCTTTTATAAATTCTATATAGTACAATATACATATATAATACTTATTTTTATATTTATTATACATATTATTATTAGCATTTCTGTTTCTAGATATTTAACTTTATTTATAATAATGAATATTCTATAGTAATTTTGCTTTTTTTTTTTATAATTTTTTAATAGTTTATTATTTATAATAACTTTAGAAAAATTATTATATTTTTATTTTTTTCTATTTGTCTTTATTTTAATATATTTTCTATATAAATTTCTGTTTAGTTAAAAATTATACATTTTTTATTAATATTATTTTTACTTTTTTATTATTTTCTATTTGATATTTTAATTGCTTATCTCTTATATCTTGAAAAATTAATAGTATATTACATTTTTTTTCTATCAGTATATATAATGATTCTTTTTTTTAAATATTTGACTAAATAATGTGTATTATCCTGATTTATTTTATTATTATTTTTTACTAACTACTTATTAATGTATATTCTTTTTTTATATACATTATTTTATATAATTTTTTTTAACTCTATTATAATTATTCATATTATGTATATAACCTTACGCATACTACTTTTTTAAAAAAATAATAAAAGGAAAAAAAAGCACATTTAGTATTGCTTCTAATTACTATTATTTTTATGAAAAAAAATATTAAAAAAGGTTTTGAGAACTATAAAAGTTGAACTTTTAAAGTTTTTCGTGCCTTTTACTTTTATTAAATAATTAATAAATAATTTTTCTGTCAAAATTTTATCATTAATAATTGTTTTTTTTTTAATATTTTTTCTATTTTATTATTTTTATTTATATTTTTGTTATTATTATTATCGGCGTTCGTAATCTTATAATTTATTTAGTACTTGAATTTTTTTTAATGCTTTATTATATTTTTTTTATCTTTTAATATTTTTAAACTATTGCTATTATTATTATTAAAAGGGAAACCTCTACAAGTCTAACGCTGATGCAACACAATACACACTTTCTTTACCTGTAATGCTTTCATAATAATATTATTAACGTAGTAACACATTTATTATATACTAAATGTATTCATATTTATTATTATTATAATTTTTTTCTATTTAAGTAATTATATGAAGTCTGCAATCTTTAAAACTTTATTATATAAAAATATTGTTAATAGTAAAAAAAAATTTATATATAAACGTTATATGTAGGATTAGTAAATTAAGTATTGTTTATTTAATAATAATTATTTCTATCCTTTTTTTAATATTAACTTTCTAGTAAATAATATATATCTTAAAAAAGTAATGTAGTATTAATAAAGCTGATATAATATGAAACTCTATACTAATAATAATACTTGAACAATAAAAGCTTATATAATTTATAAGAAAACACCAAGTTTTTGATAATAACACTTTTAGTAAAAAAATGATTATAATAAAAAACTTTAAGTTATTAGAAAATATTAATACTAATACTTTTATAATATAACGTTTAATAACTTTTTATAAACAAAAAAAATGAACTCCAAACATTCTTTTTTATATGTTATTATTGTATTTTTATTAACTGTATGAAAGTTACTTTATTATCGATTTTCCATTTTTATTCTTTTTATTATTAAAACTTCTTATTTTACTTAATAACATTTTATTTATTTATTTAAAGTTATATACTTGCTTATTAATTATTATTTAAATTTAAAAAATTTATAATTTTAATAGTTTATATTGTAAAAGTATAATAAATATGTTGAGTAGAAATATTTCTTAATTTTTTTGCATCTCTAAACTTAATTTTAAATTGCTATTTTGTGTGATATTTATAGTGTGATTGGTCATGTTTCACCGCTATTAATTGTGCTTTATCTTTTTTTATTGCGTCTCTTGGAAATTGTATTAATTTGTGACTGGCTAATTATGGTCTCCACTAAAATTTTGTTTGGAGTTTCATTTTGTTTAATATCCTTTTTATTTTTATAGAATTTACTTTTTACTTTTTCGTCAAAAAGTGACTTTCATAAAGTGTCAGGTAAATATATACTACTTTTATAAAACTTTTTATATCGTTTATTAACCATGTTTTTATTATTATTTATTAATATATATATAATATTTTTAGGCACTCACGCAACTTTTTTAAGCAATCAGTTTTCATTTGCCCCCGATAAAGGTATAGTTGTGCGTTCCTTAAGATCCCACAATAATGGCGGCCGCTGGGAAGCAATAACGGCTCCTCCTTTAGATAAAAGCGGTTTTAATTATTATTTAAAAACTTTTATTTATTATATTTTATATTATAATCATTATAATTATTATATGTACTTTTATTTTTTATATTTCGTTAGTAATCATTACTATTATACCAGATCAGAACTACGAAGAATGCCTCTACGGCGGATGCTTCTTACAACTTCACGATCGCCTAACTGATAGTCTCACGCATTCGAGCGTGTCTCCCATTTTTTCCTTAAAAACTGCTGTGGGATTGATCATTTCTCATGGCACTGTTGGGAAGTTTTTAAACTTGAGAAATATGAATCTTTATATTTCCCGAGATGGCGGTTCTCATTGGTTCAGGGCTCTTTCCGGTGTCCATACCTACGCTGTTGGGGGTCACGGAGGTTTTTTTCGTTCATTCTTTTTCTTGCTTTCTTGTTATGTCAATAATAGAAATATTGTTTCCGTCAGAAATTATTTTTAAAATATTTTTATTTTTTTTATTTTTTTACAAAATATAAAGAATTTAAACTATTATAATTGGTGAATTTAATATTATTTTATAAATTATAAAAATTGTGTATTTATTTTTATATATTAATATAAAATTCATTTACTATTATTTTCAGCTAAATAGATTACATATTCAAAATATATATATATATTGAATTATTTATACATTGATAATAATTATACTTACATCGTATATTTATTGCTGTTATCGTTAAATATTCAAAATATATTTTTTATTTTAATAAACATTTACAGATTACTGTAATTATTAAAGCTTTTATGTATTTCTGTTTTCTGTTTTTTTTATTACTTTTAAATATTATAGAAAATAATAAAAATAAAATCAAATTGTTTCAAACTTTTTATATCATTTTATTTTATTATTATTTGTATTTACTTTTATATTTATATTTTCTCTTGTATATATTTTATAAATATTAATATAATAATAATAACTTTTAGGAGTGATTGTTTCATGCTTACAAGGTTCAACTACCAATTCAGTCTTATATTCTCTCGATGAAGGTCTCACTATCTTTTTACTTTTATTAACGCTATTGAAATTTCTCTTTAGTATTTTTATAAAGTTTGAGTTAAGATAAAATATTTTTTTAATTATTTATATGTTGAACGAAACTTTTATAGTAAATAGTTTTATATACTCATACTTTTTTTGCATTTTTAATGTGTTAACTTTGAGTTATTACTATTTTTTTTTAATATTCGAAATAGGATTTATTAATTTTTATTTATAAACCTTTTTTCTTTTAATGTTTCGCATTTTTTTTATTTCTGTCATAATTGTTAATAAATTTTTTTATTATTACATTTTTACAATAAGTATTACCAATTTTTATTTGTTATATGCTTTGTCTAAAATATATCTATTGACATGATTACGATATACTTATCTTATACAATATATTTTGTAAATAAATATATTGTATTCTACAACTATTTGTATATCTTTTTTAATACCTTTTTTAAAGCATTAATATAAGCTATCCGTTTTTTTTTGAGCTCAGTTATTGATGTTTATCGCTTGGTATTTTCACTGTTCACTTATATACCAGTTCACTTGCCACATTAGTTATGTTAATTATAAGAAAGATTTAACTTTTTTTTATGTTCTCTTATTTTTTATTTTTTTATTAAATATATCATATAAACTTCTTATAATATATTTCTTTTATTCTTGGCTTGCACGTTTTTTATAATGAAGTAATATTTATACCGTCACTATTTTATTAATAAAACTTTTTTATACTTGTTCTGTTTACATGTTTTGTCATTGTTCCTGAAGGATTTTCGTGGGACTCGTTGAATATTTCACAAGATAATTTAACTGTTTCAAAAATATTAACAGCCCCTGATTCGTCATCTTTGATATTCAATGTTTGGTATTACTATTTTATTGTTATTATTATTATTTTAATATCTCACGTTTTTTAGGGGCCACAACGAGTCGTCTTTTTGGACTGTTATAAGTTTGGACTTTAGTAACATTTTTTCGCGAAACTGTATTACTATAATTATTATGTTATTTATATGAACTTGTAGAGTTTTTATTTACACTTTTTTATCAGGCAAAGAAAAGGACTTTATGAAATGGCCTGTTGAAAGTTCATTTGATTCATACGAGCCATGTGTGTTGGGTATATTATAATTACTATTATTATTATATCTATAATGTATAATTTTTATGTATATACTTATTTTTTACTATTTAGTTTTTTTTTACGCGAATATTAATACATATCGCATACTTGTGTAAACTATATTTATTTTTTCATTTTGTTTTGGTGTCTATTTTATTCTTTTTTAGTAGACAATAATAAATGTAAAATAGGCCAAAGGATGTATTATTATCGAAAAAAGTTGACTTCCAATTGTTTGCTGGAGCACACTTACACTGGTGATAACGAAGAAATTATAGAGCCAATAAAAATACAACTCTTTTTTTCTTTCAGTTAAAAATGAGACTTCGCCATGTGCTTGTACTAAAGAAGACTTTGAATGTGATGTTGGGTACCGCCGCCCAAATATTAACGAGCCTTGCGTCCCCATTGAGGTCTTCATTTATTTTTTATTTTGGTACTTTAAAATACTAAAAGTCCCAATTTAGTTAACTTATTGTTCTTTATATATATTATTTTCTTGATTATTTTTATGTATAATTATTTTTATATTTTTATCTATGACAAAATATTAATAACAAATAATGACTATTTTGAGGGTCTTTCTTTGGTTTCAGAAAAAATTTTCCTTATAAATGTTACCCTTTTGTTATGAATATCAACTTTTTTATTATTTTTCCAATGTTAAGAGTAATATTATATTGTTTCGCTTTTTATTTAGGGATACAACTACACTTCGCCTTCTATTGCTTGCGAGCAGGGACAGTCCGGGTTCATACTCTCCTCAGGATACCGTAAAATGGCGGGTAAGGCCACGTGGTTTTTATTGTGTTCTTATCGTTTCTGCCAATCTAAAAAGAGGATAGAAAATATAATTTATTAAAGTTTACCAAAATAAAGTATATTTTTATAAAATTTTTTTTTCTATTTACAATAATAAAGCAAATAACTACAACAGGAGATATTTGTACGGGCGGCGTAGAAAATCTTTTTCCCTACAATTTGAGTGCGTTTTTTTTTTTTGCATGAATACATATAAATAATATTCATAGGCACTTTTATTCCCTGCACGACCTCGCCGGCTGCCGCCTCGTCTTCCTCATTTTTTGTGCTTCTCACTCTTTTATACATTGTTTTTCTTATCATCTCTCTCGTGGTCGCGCACTTTTTATATAGAAAGAAAAACTATTGGTAGACTATATTTTGCTCCTTTTCATAGATATATTAATTATAATACGTAAGGCGCTCGCGCTATGCAGTATTAGCCCAAGAAGACCACGATCTGGACTTACCCAGCACTGCTTTGGAAGTGGTCGGCGGTTCAACCAACTCAGAAAGTACTAATCTGTACGGAAATTCACTTTGAGAGTCACTAGTATTTAAGGAGTTACTAAAAGTATCAAGATCAGTAGTTATGTTAATACCAATTCCTAATATTTTCTATTCATCTGAAGCTGTTAAAATTTAGGATATAATTTTGAAAGTTTATATTTTTAAGATCGTTTATTCCACTTAAAAGTTTTTCTCTTGAAGGTAGCTCCAGTTATTAAGGTCGTTATTCGAGTTTTAAGTTAATGTTAAAAAAAACACTTAAGAATTTACTGGCCGCCACGTTAGTAGTTTCTGAATAAACATCACTGAGCGAAGGTTGTTAAAATTTAAGTAGAATTAAGTCAAGTCCAACTATTAACAATTTGATTTAACGTGCATCTACAATTACAAGCTAAATATTTTCCATCACTTAAAAGTTACTGTTTATTAGAATAGAATAAGGTATTACAATTTTAAGTTTTATATAATAAATTTATTACTGTGGAATACAAGTATTAATTATGAAGGTTAAAATTATCATAGTGTTGATTTGTTAGACGGCAATACTTAAACTAAGTTTCGTACCAAAAACGGTTTTGATAGTAGTGAAGTTTATAGATATGAAAGTATTTGTTAAAATGCTTTCTTCCAAAAACTTTGTTTTTTCGTAAACGTTGTAAAAAAGTGATTACTTTTTCATCGAATACTAACTATATATTCCGAATACACTTTAGCTAATTATTACCATTTTTTATTAAAAATATCTTAATTTTATATAATAAATGAAAAAGGTGCTTCTCTTTCTGAAGATGAGCCTCTTAAATCAATTGAATGAGTTCTTACTATGAATTCCACTAAAATATATATAACTTGAATAACTTTGTAAATAATACTTCAATAAATTTATTTTAATAACTTATGAATTATATTTTTTTTATATAAGTTCAGTTCACCTCGTATAAATTAAGAGGTCAAAATAAGATGTGGTTAGCTATCACCTCGCCAACAGACCACTTTCATTATAAGATATAGTCTTCTCAAAAGTTTGAAAAGGTATAGCTGTTATATACTGAGGGTTGCTTACTTTAAATGTTTTAAAACAGCTGGTAATAAGCACTAACTTTAATGGTCAGTTTTATAATTAAATATTCTTCATTCTGAAATTTAAGGTATGACCAGCAAACTCAAGTAGAAAAGTTTCTAATTTGATGAAGGCTTTAACAGCCTGCTTATAAAAATAAATTACTTAAAACGTTCCAGGTGAAAATCTTTAACAAATATTTATCTTGTTTTAAAGGTCCAAGTAAAAAAGTTTTTCGCCTAATAAATAGGATACCTGATAAAGAGTTCTTTATACTACTGCAGTATTAAATACTTATTACCCGTAAACCTCTTTATCTGATTTTAAACTCGTCCATAAGTCTTTCCGTAAAACCTTTTCTACAACAGTTAGACCCAGATTTTAAATTAATTAAAAAATAAATTACTTTACCTACGCAGACGGTTGGCACTAACATAGTTTTCTTTTATTTTTTTTTTGTTTTTATATATGTCTTAGCTTCTTACAAGCTGATTTAGTCTGGTTTAGTTTATCCCTTAAAGCACCATCGTTAATACCGTGATTCATACTTTTATCGGAATCCACACTTTCAATCATTTTATTTTTCTAATGTTGCGATCGTTAATAAAATTAGAATAATCAATAAGAGTTCTAAAATCATAAACGAGGGGAGACACCTTAGAAAATGGGATCTGCTGAAACAGTAGATGTAGATGTATTTATTAATTATTTCATCACAATAGGTTTCCCTTCAAAGCAACTTTTTCCTAAGGCCTTTTCTATAGTTTGTGTAGCACGCTCCACTAGCCCATTACTTTGATAAAGGTCTACTGTTCCTACGTGGTACTTGATAATAATTTTGGCATAGAAGTCTACATTTCAATACTAACAAGGCAGAACCATTATCAGTTATAACTTCCACGGATTTCTGCATTTGCAAATAGTTTTTAATAAATTTAATACCTTACCCGACGATACTTATGCCCACATTTTGACCCAAAGATAACACGACTAATACTCTATCTTCTAGGAATAGCCATAATTTACAATAGTTTTATAAAAAAAAACCATAAAATGGTAGCTTAGGCCTATTAAGAATATTCATGGGCTCTTTTTGGTGGTGGGCTTAGTAGAAAATATCGGGCAAATAGTACAAGTGCTGACAACTTCGTCTAACACCTGGATAAACCATAAACATTGTGTTCGTTTTTCTTTCTTCCCGTGTGAAATATATATAAATTTGCGAATATATTCAATGCATATACTTTCACACGTAGTAGAGCCCACAATATTTTGTTACATTAAGCACAGCAGATTGTTTGGCGTTTGACAATAATCGACACAGCACGTCTGCTATTTCATTTTCAGAGTCAGAAAGATATTGCAGAGCTTACGAGAAGAGATTCATAATCTGCTTCCATCAATGAATATTTGCTTCTCACCGACTCATTTTCACTAGCATTTTTTAGTAGTCCTAGTGAACCTTTATGGTCCGACTTAACTACTAGTGTGTTTTCACTCCTTTTAAACCAGTCCAATTTATTAGCATATCAAATTACCACTAACGCTTCCTGAATAGGGGTACTGTAATTCTTCTGCGCGCTATAGAATTTCTAACTCTGCAAGGCCAAATGCATTCCCACTGCAACAGGGCCCCCTTCATTCAAACAACGCTTCCGTCTGCAGTATTAACTCATGGTTCAATCTAATTTTACGCTTTTTTTAAAAGTCTGCTTAGTCTAAGATGACGGGATTAATAGGAACTACTTATTTTAGTAGGTCAACATTTGAGGATGGCTACTATTTATTCTTTCTTGTTCTCAGGATGTTTCATGTCTTTTAATGCTTGAACTCGCTCGTGCTCATTCTTAAACCTTTTTCTCACTAAGTTGTCTCCCCTAGCCTTGTCACTGAAGACTTCACAAATTTACATTTTCTAATTTAAACTTTACATTTTAACTCATATATGGCCACCGACTTAATTAAGAGTTGTAGTGATTTAATTTATCCTTATTATTAGACCAAAAACATAAGGTAGACACGTTAATTTCCGCGAGCATAATTCTGGTGGCAGAAAAGGATCTTATCTTTTTGAAAAAAATCTGGCTTATAGGAAAATTTAACTGATAAGCCTGCTGTTATTTCTCTAACGATTTAAACTGAGCTTGTACTAGCTATGGACAGACAGAAGGCTTTCTTAAGAAGGCGGGTGACAATTATTATGATGCTTTTATGTTAACCCTCTATGATGGACGCTTCCTTGAGTTAAAGTTATATAAAAATGTATGCTATATTCTGTGGAACGGAATAAACATCAGCTATATAAAACGGTGTCTTGTACTGTGAAAATATAATTTGGGGTCTGATGAAACTGCGGAGAGTTTTAACTTAAAATTTACACGCGTTAGTCGTAGACCTATTATTGGCTTTCTGAGATGTTCTGGTTTCAGCTTGTCCTAGTCATACAAGGTTCGGATATGCTGATTGTTCAAGGCTCTGAGTTGATGTAACCCCTTCCTGTACCCTTGTTCACTGGTCCCCAGTCTTTGATTTGAGTAATTATATGTTCCATTCGGTCGAGGCCTTGAGACTATATGAGCTAGCATTATACGATACTAACTGTCTTGTGACCAACTTAAATTTTGCTAGCAAAGAGTAGCGAGCTAAAGTTAGGGGTTACTATAATTAGCTAGAAGGCTTGCATAATGAGTGACATAAGATAAAACTATATTATTGCTCATGCTTCTAATACTGGTAGAAAAATGCAGTGCTGATGGTTTATCTAAGTATTTGTGCTACTATTATATTTACTACTAGTATAATATTGAATCCTAAAGCTGGTGTAATGATATTATTTACTAGTTGATTGGTACTTTAGTATTAAGCTTCTAATTAATAACTATTTAAATGGTACAGTTTTCTAAAAGAATACTGTATTAAGAGTGATCTTTTATGGGCCCTCCCATTTTCATGTTCGAAAGTAGGTTTTTAATAGTTGGGGGAAAAAAGGCGGTGTTTTTCTTCCTCAAATATTCATTTTTTAATTTACTTATAAATTATTTTATATAAAAAGTTGAAAAAATTATTTATATTTGGCGAATAGAAGAGTACAAAGAGAGACGCCAAACAATATATTCTAATGTGTGGGGTAAGCAAAAGGGTTACTATGAAATGCTACTTATACAATAGCTCTGTTACCTTTTAAGTACAATATGTATTCGGCAGGAGATTAACCTGGAAGCAAAGAACAATCTTTACTAAAACCAAGAGCGTATTACATTGAAAGAAAACCATAGTTAAACTAGCTAACAATTGAATGCTACCAAGACATAGTACTCCCAGTCAGAACCCGCCCCACTCTTTAGAGGAAACTAGACAGTTCTTAATATGTTAATCCTTATTTGTAAAAAGCTGAGCTATACCTCAAACTATGAATTTCTTCAGATAGCTTTTATTAAACTTAATCTCAAGTGTCTTTTTATATAGGTTTGTGCAATCTCATCTAAACTCTTCTATAACACCCACCAGTCGTCCTCTTTACTGCTTCGGCAAACCTTATTTGGTCCATCATCTATACATTTCATCTATTTAAATACGGGCATTTACAAAGTTTAAAAGTTGTGCACCTTTGTATTCCTTTTTCGTATGCAGAGTTAAAGTCGTCTTCTCCCTTTTCTTTTTAATAAGCAGGTGCTTTTTCCGTGAACATTATTTTGTATTATAACTAATAAACCTAAAATCCAATTTTTTTAATAAATTGTTATTAGGGACCAATTTATTCATCTACACAAAATAGAGTGGTGTCTTTCATTTCAGTTTTTCATTTCACCTTGGATAAAAATACTAAACGAAAGGCTTATTTTTCGTCTACTCGTTGTGTAAATTCTAATTCATCTGTTAAGTTAACTGTTTTATAACAATGTTGTATACGTAAGTTATCGACTAATGTGAGCTGTCACAGTAGACTTAGTGGTTAGAGCATAGTCGCGCAAGCTTAAGACCGCGGTTAATCCCGTAGATGCCAAATCACATTTTTCTGATATGGTGGTTACGTGTAAAATTCCCTTTGAACAAAATTCTGGTATGTTATAAGTTCGCTCGCTCTAGAGCTAAAGGCAGTAATACCTTAAAATACATGGGTATAACAAAAGTTGTATATGAAATTTATCGCATTTTTCTGGTCGAATGATTGTGTACAACTTCCCTACATTTCTGAGTATTTCCCTCCTCTAGAGTTTTGTAATTTCTTATCTCCTCAACAAAAAAAATATTCTTGAGACTTGCGTATAAACTATTAATAAAATTATTATTTAGTATTAATTAATATATTAACTTTAAGCTAAAATAAATACGTTTGACATAGATTTTCGTACCGTTCAACGCTCTCGATGGCTTATGCTTTACAAAAGGGGTTTGCATATGAAGTGGGCTTCCTTTAACGCTAATTACAATCATTAGAACCTAGTCGCGCACATCATTAGCGGGACGGCTAATCTATTAGCTATAGTAGTGTTAGAGTTTTTTATTAACCAATTTTACCAAACAAAATTAAAATTTTCCAAAACAAAAGGAGGGAAAACGCAAAAGCTTGAGGTTCTGATGGTTAGAAAAAAAATTTATTGATAACTCGCTGGAAAGCGTCAGGTTACTTATTTACTAAAATAGTAATATTGGTCTATACATAGCACTCTGGTTTATAATGTTTTATTGTAAAACGTAGTAAGGTATTTAGGACTCGCCAAAAAAAGTTGTTTATTGCAATGTCTCTTTTTTTACTTTCATCAAACTGGACAGTCCTTAAAGATGAATATGGTATATAATTCTTTTTAAATGGTGTAAGACTTAACATACAAAGAATAAGAAAACATACTCTTTTAGTAGAGTAGATTGCTGTTTTTTAATACAATGATTGTTCAAAAACTAGGTTCGGACTATTTTTACCACCCTTTCGCTGATAAAGCCGCTTTCGTAGATACTTTAACTAACGAAAAAGACAAGGGTTATAATATAATTTCTTTAAAAGGCACTTGGATTTTCAATTTTTTTTCCGACAACTAGAGACCCAAGCCATGGCTATGCCTATAGAAGAGGAGGTTATCAAAGGTTCCTTTTGCGTTGAAGTTATGTTCGCTAATATGGTTTCCTTTCTTAAATTTAGCCTAACTTTTAGTTTTTACTTTGCCCTTAAACACCTTTTTTGGATGCACTCTTTCATATAATTCTTTCAGCCTGAAGAGGACATTTATTACTTCAGCGTGTCAACTAATAAAGGAGAGAAGTTAATTCAGCGTTATAAATCTAACATCAAACGAAAAACGGATTCTCCGCATTGGGGCGAGGTAAACTTTCAATAGCTTATTAAAATCAACCTACTGCTTTAGAATATGGAAACACTAAAAGATTTTACTACTAAAAGAAAGAAACTTTATTATTAAGTAAGTTGAAAAGTAAATTCAAGTGCGGAAACGGTTTAGTGCAGCTTGGCTTTCAGGCCTTTTTTCCTAACCGAAAGTTTACAGTTTTAATATAGAATATTCCAAACCTGATAAACCTTAAAGCGAATTTCCTGAGCATTTATTTTTTAAAGCTAAATTTTACGGGACGGTTTTTTTTCAAGTCACTGATCTTTTTTTGAGGTCTTTGACGTTCTGATTGACAATTGCCGTGTGATGTTGTTTACTGTGTGGAAGACCTCAAAGTATAAGCCCAAAGTTGCGGGTAAATCTAACTATCCAAGAAAGTTTATGTGTCGCTAACGTAGTAAAATCAGGCCAGTGCATTTTTTCCATTAAGCAATTTTGTGATTACAAGTACAATCGACTGCTTTATAAATTAAATCCAGCGGGAGAATTAAAGTTTACTATTCAACGAAACTCGGTTAACACGCTTCTTCGGAGGAGGTTAGATTGTGCTATCGCAAAATTAACACACTCCGAAGCTTTTTACTTGACCTTCGTACTACTGAACCCCTATAACTTTTTAAATAAAAGTAGACTTTAATCACATTTGTACATTTGACTTTTCTAAAGCTTTTTTAAATAAGCAGTGAATGAAATTATTATATCCTTATTGGTTATATAATATGACGCCACTAAAGTTTTAAAAAAACAATTTAAATTTTTACAGAGCAATTCTTTTACATTCAGACAACTTTTCGTAATAATAGAGTGGATTTCTCGTTATGTCCCGAAGATGATCGGGTCTTTGGCGCGCCCATGATTGCTTCAGAATACACCTCTTATGTACCTTCGTTTGTGGTCGCTGCTATACAGGTCTGCCTCTCTTAATAATCTTCATTAAGTTTATTTACTTAGACTCGTTTGTTACCACTTTTCAGGTTATCGAACAACGTGGTCTGCGCGCGTTGGGGATCTATCGAGTAAGCGGATCAGCCCTGGAAGTTAAAAAGGCACAAGCAGAAGTCGTGCGAGCATGCAAAAACCAAAAGAACTTATATCACGTTTTGGGTCTTTATCGCGTGCAAAGTTTATACCGACTTTTATTTAGTGGTCTTTCAATTTCAAGATCCGTTTGACGTAAATTGCACTGCAACCTTATTAAAAACATTTTTCCGGAGTCTGCCATCCAGCCTTCTTGGAGGTTTTCTATAAGAAAAAGGCTTATTTAAAGGCAACACTGCTGTATAAATATCCCTAGAAGTGGTTTTTGAGGGCCTCGGCGCTCTGCTTCAGGGCAACTCTGCAAGAGAGACAAAGCTCAACGAAGAAACGGCTCAAATTCTAGCAACCATCATCTCAGGGTTGGACATCATCAACGTGTCTACGGCCGTTTTCCTCTTCGACCATCTGCTACACGTGGCTGAGCAAGGTAGCTCTTCTCGGCGGTGCCTCTTTAGCTGCCTCCTTCCCGTTTATGCCAGGCGAGGCCAATAAAATGACTATAAGTAACTTGTCCATTGTGTTCGGGCCCACGCTGTTCCCGCAGACTTCGGGTGCAATGACCATGCGTTCCGGGCTGCAAGGTATAACGGTTCAACGTTATTATTTATTTTTCCAAGACTTGCATTTCTTTTTTTCAAGGAAGCGCGACCCAAGGTAAAATAGTTGCTGTAATCCTCCACAACTGGCCTACCATCCGTGAAATCGTGATAGAAAAAGTAATTCATTTAGTCCTTTATATAAGGTCAGTAGCCCATTGCTAATATTAAATTAGTCGAGTCTACTTTGCGGTCCAGAAATCAACAGGTAGCCAAGAAAAATATGCATTGACGAAGTAACAAGCCTTTAATAGAATAAAACCGAAAAAAAAGTAAAAGACACAGTTAACTTAGCACACTCGGAAGCGTGCATGCATTAGTCTACCAGATTAGTAATTAATGTTGTAAATAAATTATTAAAAGAAAAATAATTATTTTATTATATTTAAAAGCTCGAGTTCTACTCTGCAGGCAGCAGAGCTGCTGCACACGTCGCCCTCTCCTCTTTATTGCAAGGTGATAGGTAAAAGGGATTGAGAGTGGCTATGGAAACAACTTCAAGACCTGCATTTGTCTGAGGGACATATAATTCATAGTTTTCACAAACTTTAGCCTAATCGGTAATGATAATGAAAAGATTGCACCAATCAATTTGCAGGAGAAAAACCTTCAGTCTTTTAGCTAATTTTTTCTGTCTTCTTAGCTCCAAAACTTTTCTTCGAAAGATCTCGAATATAAATATAAATGCAAAAAACATTTAAAAAAGGAAGACTCTAGTCTTAAAACCTGCTGGCTTTCAGGCAAGCAAGTATACGACTCATTTGCGGAAAGTCGCACGAGGGGCTGGCAAAGCCACATAGAAATTACTTTTGTGCGGCTCTTAGAATTATTAAACTTTAATAATATTTCGAGCTATAGAGAAACCCATAAATACAAGAACGGCGTTCTCCAAATAAATAACTTCTGAGGAGAAGTGAAGGCCAGCAAGATCAAGGCTCTCAGACTGCTCTTCTTTATATATCAAGTTGAACGAGTTCAACAGACACCGGAAGTTTTCCAAACAGTTGGCCCTGCCAAGCTAACACTTTATTAGTACCAATCTATAAATCAAGATATATAACAAACCTCTTCACACATAAAAGAATGTATCTTAAGAGGCTTTCGCCAGAGTTTAAATAAGTGAGACCTAAACAGAAAGTGAATATATTCCACATAAAAATAAATAAAATAAACCTTATCATAGAAGGATGAGTACTGTAATTTTCGCAAAGCTCCAAATACTCTTCCGCCATCTAGTTAAAAAAAAAAGTTAACTTATATTACTATTTATGATAAAAGGCTCAACTTTAGTTATGGGAAAGTGAATCCCTGTAAAAATTGCCGGATTATAAAGATTAGACTCGGCGACCATCACCCCCTGCACACCTATGGAATGGCAATAGGTATACAGCATACAATAGTTTAATTAAAAAGTAAAAACCCAAATTTAAAAGTAATAGTATAATATAATATGAGAACAGTAAACAAATATATTTATGAATATATACAATCATATGTAACATTGATAAATCAAAAAGTCAAAACTTAGAAACTAGCACATCACAGTTAAAAGTGAAAACAATATAAAAGTTTGATTTAAAGCTTAAATTATAAGCAGCTATATTATTTATATTCTCTGTGAAATAAAAATGACTATCAAAAAAGTTATTTTTAAAAAAATGTTACTAATGATCCTTATATACTCTTCGTTATAATTATTATTTCCAGGCCAGTAAAGAGTACTACACCAGCCTTTTTTACCAGTCATAGGCAACAACCTCGTTACAACGTTGAGTAGGAAAGCATCCCGCCTTATATAAAATGGCCGACAAGGAAGCCACAAACATGAATGCGTAACTTTTGTTGTATACAGCGACTTTTTTATATTCTTCTTTCTTTTTAACTATTAACCCGAACGTCCTATATCATTCCTCGGCAATCCCGCAAAACGTGAAAAAAATTATTGCATAAAAACCCGCCTTGGAAATAACAACTGCTGGTTACTGTATATTTCTAGTACCCTGAAAAAAATTTGAATGGAAATTTTTTTTTGAAGTATTGTATTTCGTATTTAGTAAAGTGAAAAGTGAAAGAATGTTCTTTAGAATCTGCTGACTCTTCTGAGAAAAGTCGTAAATCTTCCACAAAACAACCAATTATTCCAAATAAGACTTACTTGCGCTATACACACATTATTTAGTTAACTACCATAAAATACTAAAAGTGGCTGTAATTTTAAACTGTTCAAGTATAAATATAACGTGTACGAAATTTTAAAAATAAAATAAAGAATTAACGAATTTAAATAAAAATTATATAAAAAATAAAACAAGATTACTATAAACACAGCGCTGACATTCAACATGAAACGAAGATTTATCAAATCGTTATAAAGTAAGTATAAAAGCTAATAATTTAAATTGAAACAAGAGTTATAGTGTAAACTACCGGTCCACTGTAAGCAGCGATGCACATCTTCAAGGTAAAGAATGTTACCTAAAAATTTTAAAAAATCAAATAACATGGAAGTTCCAGAAGTAAAAATAACTTGGTATAAATGCATATTACTCGCAGAATCAAATACTTTACTCGCGAGGTACAAATTTTAAAATTTTATTAACATTCTCTCTAAAAACGAAAAACTTATGTAAAAATTAGTTATCTTCATAAATTATAATCAAGCGGGACAAAGAAGAGCAGAGCGCACTTGTAACCTCGAGTTTCTAAAATTAAATTTTTAAAAGGCTCAGAAAATCAAAATCTTTTTCCTTTGATCGCAAATCCAGAAGCGAAAAATAAAAGTCGTTATTTTTATAAGAAAAATTAACTTATAATAAAGGTCAAGGTGATTATAAAAGCAACTAACAAAGCAAAACTTAAAACTTGAATTAGTTTATACTTAAATCATTTGCAAGAATGCACGATGCTGCTGCGTGTAAATCAAAAATGATTAAACAGATTATATTAATAAAAGATAACGAATATACATATATATTAAGAACTAACCACAATAATCCTAACAGTAGAAACCAAATAACCTTTCTAATATTATTTAATCATTTTCATATAAATTATTTTGTTAAGCGTTTAATTGTTCTATTAAAAATTCCTTAAAGTGGGCGGACTAATAACCAGTTCTACCAAAACTACAATAAATACTCAATAAAAATCCAATATATAAAAAAAAAAGACGAATCGATAAAAGTTACCATTAGCAAAAATTGGGATTGAAAGTGCTTTTCTAACGGCTTTAATTTGATTCCAGTCCGCAAATCCTTAGAAAAGGAGCCGGAAAATATAAATAAAATAATTTCAAGAAGTAAATACTGCAAATGTTACCGGCATTTTGTCCCTGTTGCTCGCGTAGGCGGCCGTGAATAGTTAGCAACTGGCAACCTGAATCTTCAAGCATTTTAGCGTAACTAAAGACCAAAGTAACAATGAATATAAACTTTTTATATCAAATCATTTACCATACAGTTTTTTCAACGTCAGGAAATATTCTTATTTTACAAGTCACAGGAATTCTTAGCTGCTGGCTCAACAGTGAAACCAGAGATGCGATTAAATTCCAATCTTCCATTAAAAAAGAACCGTAACGTCCTTTTCTAAAATTTATAATAGTCGATTAATAAAATAATATAAACTAAATCTATACTTAAATATATATACCGAGCTATACTTTTTGGACAACCTAAATTAATATCCACAGCATCCACTTTATCTTCAACTAATCTTGCAGATTTAAGAAGAGTTTGGGGATCATTAGCGCAAAACTCAAATATAGCGCCATAATATTAATAGAGTAAAATACAGTAAAAATATAAGTTAAGTACTTGAACAATAAGAGGGCGATCTTCAGAACATGTAGTAAATTTTTTTTTACGATATTCCTCTTGAGTAGCAAATAAGCCTACAGAAGTAACGAAATTTAAAAAAAAATTTGAAAGTAAAAAACCATTTATATATATTAATGAAATATTAAAAAGGATCAATAAAGTTAACCTGCGTGTAACATGGGCGTATAGCACAACTGAGCACCATACTTTCTACTTAACATCCTCCATGCTAACTCGCTCTGATCCACCATGGGAGCAACAACATACTTGGGAGAACCTAAAAAAAGGTCTGTAATAATTACAATATGACTGCTTTTTATACTAAAGGCTATGAACCTAAGGAACGAAAAAAGTCCCAGCACTTCGGTTTTTTCCTATAAAGTTCTAAATTATTGGTAAGTATTTTAACGTAACGTTTTATTATAAACTAAAGATATCTATTTATCTTTTTTTTTTCTATTTATTTACAAAAAACTAAACCGTCATTCCGTTCTGAAAGGAGCATTAGGCTACAAGCCTCTTTCCCAATGCGTTCGACTCAGAATGTTTCTAAAAAGTTTTATATTGACAATAGCTATGACACGAGGAATATTTGTCTTTTATTTACCTCACAAACTGGTTTCTTTAAGGTTGTTCACTTAGAGTAGAAGCTGTTAAGGGTCATAGTTGTTGTGATTAAAAGGGGAATTAGTTTTTAAATCTATTAAAACTACGATTTGAATATATTAGTGTGAAAGTTTTTGAATTTTCGAATTTATTAGGCGTAACCATTAGGTTCTTTCTTAGTGTAAATAAAAACTTTCAAAAACTAAAAAAAATGGTTTGCAAAACTATTATAATAGTTTATTTAGTAAACTGAGGTAAAATAAAACTCCAAGGCCACACAGCTATAAATTATTCCCACTGAGATTTTGACAAGAGAATATTTTGAAGCAGAAGAACTTACTAAAAGAACCGAGACACAAAGTTGTAATCATTTATACCTTACAGCTACGGTAACGCTAAGCGTATTAATTAAATGGTTATTCCGTTTTTCGAAATAAGAACAACGTAGTCAAGCTAATTAAAGTGTAAATGCCCAATTAATAACTAGAATTAAAGAGCGAAAGGGCATGCTTTATTCAAAGATTTACACCACAAAGTGCTAAATATTAATTTTCGCTTATAAACTACTAATACCCTACAACCCCACCATACCAAACACTCTTAATATATATTTTTTAAAATAGTTACAAATATTTCCGTTTACGAGAAAACAATATAACTGTAACTATTTACGTACTATAAATTTGAAGGAAATCAGTTAAATAAAAATAATTTTTGAGGTTGTTTCTTTAAATTACGTTACTTTTATCAGTATAATAAAGGCGTCTTGCATATTTATACTGAATTAGTAAAGCTCAAGTTCTTGAAATATGACTTTTCCTAAATTTACTTTTATCAAAAAAGGGATATCTTTATGAATATCACGCTATATGTGTTAACCGGTTTATTATTCTTCCCTACTCGTTCTTTTGACTCACTCGACTTATTTAATTAAAAAATTTATAGTACTCGTTTAAGAGAAAATTAATAAGTAGAAGGCTTTATATAAAATCCTTATTACCAAAAGTAAAGCACGTTCAAAAAATTTAAAAATACTAAAAAACTGAGCCCGACATTTTATTAAAGTTGTACAACATTAAAAGTATTTTCCAGGCGTGTAATTTCCTCAAGCACCTTGTGTATGTATATAAGTTTATATTAAGGTTTAACCCGATAAAAAAAATTCAATTTATAAAAAGTAAATCATTTTAAATAAAGTAATTAAAGTTTCGATCTTAGAAAAAAAATTAATACTTCCACACAATAAAATAAGAAAATTCTTTCATACTTTACTTTCTGAAGACACTTTAGCAACTTGATCAGGATTTAACGCAGCACCTAAAGTTAATTATATAGCGATAGTTTTTTAATAAGATTATAAGATAAGCTAATAAAAGATTGATCAGTAATTCTTAAAAAGAAAAGTTCAATAGCCGCGTAAAGTACATCATATTTAGTAAATAGTAGATGACAATTTTACAATTAACTACTAAATTTTAAAACTTATTAGTTAAAATTTTAAAGTTAAACTTATAACTATAAACAGAAACCAAAAACACAGAAATCAAGAACTTGTTAAAGTTTCTTAAAATTTCAAATATTTAAATCAAATTGCTATGCTTTGCACACGATTATTTCAAAATTTAAAATACTCGAAATAGATTTTATATTGAAACGATTTTAATATTCGAAAGAGCATAATGAACCATTTTTTTAAGTACGACAATTTATAAAAACTTTTCAAAGTTTTACTAAATAATTCAAAAATTAACTTGATAATTTGCTTTATTATATTCTATGAAAATATAAATAGTATAACTAAAAATAAAGAATTTAAGCAAACAAAGGTTTAACTAAATTAACTTCGTAGTAAAAAGAACGGACTCGATAAAAATAAAAAAAGGTAAATATTAGTGAAACTATAACACTTCTTTATAATAAAAAAGTTATTTATAATAAAGGTGCTCAGTAAATACTTTAATTTTTTTTAAAAATATATAATTATAAAAACACACAAATATACAGTAATAAAGTTTAACGTGTATACTTTGCAGAATATGGGGGGGGGGGGGGGGGTGGGAGGGGGGCGAAGTTAAAGGAGTATTATAATATTTTTATAAAATATATCATTGAATAAATATAAATATAAATTTATTTTCGAAAAAAAATAATAGACAAATAATTTGTAGCATAAAATATAAAATAAAAGAAGTTCAAGTCAAGTAGGCTGCGATGAACATAACGAACGAATCATGAGCTTGTGCTGTACAGATTGGCCCATCGGGTTATCTATGCTTTCCTTGAAATGTACACCAAAAAACACAAATCACGTGCCCTCATTAAAAACACCGGCCAACCGCCTCATTTGCAAAGGAATTTAGTACTATTAATAACCATGGAGCTGCTTATCTTTTAAAACTACTATTTCCCGATGCTTCTTTCTAAGATTTTTGAGTAGTTTCTGCGGGTCGTCTTTTAAGTTTACTTCTGCATATCAAAAATTATAAAAAAAACAGAAAAATTAATAATAAAGAAAAGTAAGTAAAGTTTTTTAGAGTAGAAATCAAAAGTAAATATACAGATAAGGAAACTGAAAGAAAAATAAAAGAAATTAAGAAATAATTAACAATACAATTATATTTCATAAAAAATGTAAGTTATAATAAAAGTTTTATATACCAAATATAATAAAAATATAAAAAGTTAATGTTTAACAAGGAAAAATGTTGACAGAATATATAATTTTCATACTATTTGTAGTAGTAATACTGCGAGGCCAACTTTCCGATACATCTTCAGCATTATTCTTCGCTGTAATGAGAGGATATAACGTAACTATAAAAAATAAAAAATAAAAAATATTGCCATTTAAATAAACTTTTAAAGTAATCATGTCCTTAAAATTTTTTTTTGGAACTTTTATGTATATTAAGTTTACAAAGCTATGTTTTAAAAAAGTCAAAGGTATATAAATTTTACAAAGCTAATATTATAAAAATAGTAACATAAATCCATTATGACGACAATATTTAATAAAGGATAATTATAAAAAGTAAAAACTTGTAACGAAGTTTTCTAATTAAAATTTTAAGATGTTTATAATAAAAAACATTTAAATTTTAAATAATGCAAAACGTTATGACCTTTTTCCTTCTTCTTAGGTTTACTTTTCGTCGAAGAAGGTTCAGTAAAACCAGGGACTCTCCGCACTTGCTTACAAGGTTTTAAGCTTGCTTCCAGTCTTTCCAGACCGTTTAGACTGTATGTCTGACTAAAAGAAAAAATAAAAAAAAGTATATATTGAATAAAAAATAATAATTGTAAACTTTATAAAATCGGGGGAGGCTGCAAGTACAGAAGGGCGAAAGGCGCTCACTTCTAGTATTTATTTTAATTTTTATTATTACTATTAGACAATATAGATAAAAACTTTTGACGGCCTTCGTATTATCTTGAACTGGAATGGTTGGTTTCAAAGGAAAAGTTCCAACCTTTGCTGGTTCACAACAAACCTTTTGGTAGAAAAATATGATATATGATAAACAATAAATATAAATTTATATATAAACAACACAACAATCATTAAAAAAGGTTACAAACAATAAAAACGAGGTTTAAGCTAAAAAAAAATTAATAAAGTTAAAAGAGAGGAAACCTCTAGCAGTTGATCAAAAGGAACACACCAAAGAAGCTGCCCGCTGTAGTGCCAGATTTTAAACTGATTGTCAGTACTTATAATAAACATTATAAAGAAATAAATAGACAAAAGACCATGTCGTACCGAAGTCGAGGACTAGTTGTGGACGTAAGCACGTGCTCGCTGTCAGGAAACCAATAGAAAGCGGTTGTGTCCTCGGCGACAAAGCGCGAAACCAATAGCCGACGAGAGACATCCCAAAATTCCTAAAGAAACCAATCGCTTAAGATAAGAAGCAACAACACTCAACTAAGAACGTGCCATTGTCCCCCTCAGATTGCCAAACCCTGCAAGGCACACCACTGGAACATAAAAATTATACTTTTACTTATAACGAATTTAGTTACTACAATGTCATATTTGAGATTTTTTTATATGAAAAACAAATATTGTTAAAAATAGATACGATTTCCGTGTTTACTAAACATAACACTATTTCGAAATGCAGAAGACTCAAAGGAAAACAAAGGAACGCAGTTTTTTCCAAAAGCCTGTTATTATTATGGTTACAGTGTACTTTTATAAAATAGAAATTAAAATCTTCTTAACACATAAATATAGACCATGACTTTCGCAGGGGAAAAGTCAAATACGGCTATGAACAAGTGTTCATCTGTGGGGCTCCATGCAACATCGTGTAGCTGATTACTCTTTTCTAGTAAATAAACATAGTTGGCTCATTTTTAATTTCAAGAAATTAAATTGAGATAAAGTACGCAAATTCACTGGCGTGTTGAATCGGCCGTCCAAACTTAAGTAAAACAGAGCAGCATCGTTTCCCATATAAGCTTTTTTATCACCAACTTCTTCAAGAGAAGCTCTCACAAGAAGACTTGAACCTCATAGAATCATAATAATAATAATAATAATAATAATAATAATAATAATAATAATAATAATAATAATAATAATAATAATAACCGGTTTTATTCCAAAGTAGCTTTGCTTCTTTAGAACCAAAAAAGGTGGTCTGTGACGTTATCACCTCCAAATTATTAAATTTTCGGATCTGAACTACTTCAGGTTTACCCTTTTAATAAAAAATTAGTATTAAAGAACTAATGAGTTTCTGTTAAGTGTTCATTATTTACTTGTTTATTCAGAATATAAAGAGAAAGAGAAGGATTGGAACCAGAAGACCAGCAACAGTGAGTAAGGCCTTCTACTCTGTAGGCAAAAAATTAAAAAAAAAAGATTATTATAATATATAAACATATAAAATAGTATAATATATTTATATTTATAAACCTGAGCTTTTTATAAACACCTTCATTTATTCCGTTAAGCTTGTAAATATAAATTTCGTTAGCGAACATCTTTCCAAAAAACTTTTCATCACTAGTAAAGAAAGGCTCCCTTCCATGAAATATATTAATAGTTGATAAAATAGTCTTAATTACTCTAATTCCAATAAACACAAAAGTATGTTAAATAGTTCATAACCAGTCCTCTTGGCGTTTTTCTATAGAAGTATATACCACATCGCCCGTTAAAACATTACACAAGTAAAAATTTTCATTTTTAGAATTTACTTTACCTATTTTATTATTCATAAAAACTTTAAAATAGGTTTACAATGTAACTAATTATATAAAACCTTGATACATTTTTAAAATAACAAGATAGTTATTTTTAGGAGACCAGCAAAAGTCAACGACATCAGAAAGTAAAAATTCAGTTACAATTTTTTCATTGTCGAGACAAAATACATAAACTCTATAATAATATTATCAAAAAAAAATAATAGTAAAAACCATAAGCTAATCGCCTATTAAAAGTTTTTGAAAGACCACAAGAAAAAAGGACAAATATATAGGAAACATGTAAATTAAAAAAATAGCTAAACCTACAATGGCCTCTTATTATAAACTCTTTAAAAAATATTATGGTGTTCAAAAAATTTACTTTTCTTTATCACACCAAGCAAATTTAGAACCATCATTAGAATATTTCATACACTTTCCAGAAGAAAAAAATAAGGTCTCATTCTTAGTTTTTATATATATTCCTTCATTAGTTCGTGCTGTAAATAATATTGTAAGATTCTAAGATAAATTTGGTAACATATATAATATACGTAACCAGCAAGGTAATAAGGATGTGGAAGAGAGTCCATTGAATATTATCCAACAAACCAAAAAAACAAAAACTTTCTGATATACAGTAGTAGGTCAAAACGTCCAACAGAGTTTTTATAATGGCCACACGAGACCCAGCTTCGTTCATTCTACGGGTGCCAGGACTTATCAGTTAGTATTTGGAATCCAGGCTCCTATCTAAGTACGAGAAAGCAAACTCGGTCGGTGGGTTTGCAAGTGCCTCTTACTCATTTAAAACTAAATATACTCCATAACTTAAGAGTAGACTTGAATAAAAAAAAAATTAGTTTAAATTTAAAAAAACTACTAAAATATTTATTAAGAATGTTTAAGTCATTGAAGTAAAAATTGCCAGGCATCTAAGCCGTATCTATCTAAAGAATTCTTTCTTATAAATTGCTCTAGTCCTAAGAATCCTTATGAGAAACGCCTCTAGGTGAGCTTCTAGGTTCAGAGGTCAGGCTATCTCTTAGTAACTACAAGATTCTAAATTTCATGACTTTGCTTTCGAGAAACGAATCCCTACCCCTACAAATATTAATTACTAAACTCTAAAAGGATTGCCCCCGCAGAGCAACTATTCTGGGGTAAGTATATAATAAACAATTAATTAATTGGTACTTTTCCATATAATTAAGCCAAGGCCTCTGTTTTAACAAAAAAGGAAATCCGAAAATCACTAGTTTAATTAAAATTCGGACAACTCCATTGGCTGAAAAATTTAAAAAAATGATTGGCCCAGGTTTCTCGTAATTATTCGAAGAAATACTATATATATAAACGAAAAACTGCTGTTCAAACAAGCGTTGTTTGAGGGTTTGCTAAAGTTTAATAGAGTCCAGCTCGGTTTTTCTGTCAAGATTTTAATAGAATGCAACTTTGATAAACTTCTTTCAACTAAGAAGAGAAAACAATAAAAACTATTCTCTCTATCCAGATCCATTAATTTCTAGATTGAAATTAATGGTTACAAAAGTTATAAAGACACCTTACCGATTCATTGACAGTCAATAAAAACAGGATTATATGAGAAAATAAAAAAATTAGTCATAAACCAAAATAAACAGTCAACAATGCTTTTTTAAACTAGTTTTCACTTATAAAAACCAAATAGAACTAGAGTTCTTCGATAAACACCTTTAGTTATTGTTCTTTGATCAGAGAGCAACTCTTCATTAATAAATACCAATTAATAGGTGTCTACCATCCCCACTTTTTTACTGAACAATAGTGAGTTTACTTACACAGTATATTACAGAATTTAGAGGTAAGCAATTTTGATATGTGGACGATATGGACCGCGTGGCAGTTACTTGCACGTGTAATTGAACACTAATCAAGGTATAAAATAAGGGATGGCTCCCACCACACTCCCTTTTTTCCTCTTTATTAATAATTATTTTATCGGGGTGCGGGGGTCTTTAAGGCGAACATTGTTTTAGTTCTTTTAAGCTTTGACAAAAAACCTTATATTATTTATCATTATAAAAAAATATATAATATATATAGTTAAATAATAGGGATGTGATATCTGTTTATAATATAGTTTTCAAATCTGTAAAACTTCAAGAACAACTTTTTGACTTTACCCATTTAAGACATTTTGCGAAGAGTAAATTAGAAAGGAACGAGTTGGAAGGTCGGTTATATATTTAAGATTAATATTGAGTTAGAGAGCGAAAATTTAACACCAGAGTAAAGTGTTATTGATTAAAGGGAGTTCAGTATAATTGTTCAGGTAGCCTTATAAAGTTCTTATAATGGTCAAGTTATAGAATAAGATTAAAAGTTGCGCTCATGTTAATAGATTATTTTGCACGGAAAATCACTTGTGCAGTTTATTCAAATTAAATGAAATCTCTTGTTATTTTATCTCTAGAATTTAAAAACGAAAGCGTCATCGTCACAGATGAAACATCTTCTAAGAATGGTAGTTTGGAAAGAAATGTGGTTAAAAGCGTTAATTAACAATCTTTACCTATTAAGAAAGACAGAAATGAGTACGGCGTATTTGAAGGTTAAAGGTTTTATGCTTTAGGTACCGGTTGTGCCGGTGGCTGAAGGGAAGGGTACGAGAGCAGAGTTAGTTTTAAACTTAGTGAGACATGAACTTCTTTAAGGATGGATGTTTTTCCTAGGGAGTACAATTATGAGAAGCTTAATAAGTTATCGAAAGTGGAAAATAGTATTTTGGGTGAAACTCCTGTGTGTAAATAGTGGGTTCAGCTTTGAATAGGAAGTTTTGAGCATGAAAAGTATGAGAGAAAGCAATGAAAAAATGTTAACCGAGAAAGTGGGGGGTTGAAGAATACTGAGGTTTCCGAGAATGCAAATTTAAGTTAAAATTTGCGAAGAGTAAAGTAACAGGTGCCGAAAGACAGTTATCGTGTTTGAACTTTAAAAGCGTTACGGCTGAAATGCTTAAAAGTTTAGCAGCGTGTGTATATAGAACTGAATTGCGGTTCAGCTCAGAAGTCGGTTATGATATTGAGTCCCCGTAAAGTAGAATTGAAGGTTGAATCTCGTCCTGTCGGAACACATGCACATTAAAAAAATAAGTTAAGGCTTAAGGTATACAACGCGAGTGTTAAAAGCTGTTAGACCAGGGTTACTCGAATTTTCATTGTTAACGACTGGAATCACAGCCAGGTAGTAGTTTTAAAACCGGTATTAGAAATTACTAAAGAGGATCGTCTGCAGCGAGAGCCAGAAGTTTATATGGGGATGTGCGATGATATATGAGGTTTAAACAAACAGTCTATTACAAAGCAGTGCACCATTTTATTGTAAAGCAAGAAACAGCACTTACTTTACTACATGACAATGCTAAGGGTTTTTACTAGTGTGAGTTAGGTTGAGAGAGTAGAAATTACTTTGCTTTTTCCACGTCAGATGGACGTAGATTACTATGAACTGCATTGCCTTTTGGATACATGAATATTTATGTAGTGACATGAAAGACACCTACGTTAATATAGATGATTGCTTAGCATGCAGTGATAATAACTCAGACCATAACACCGCGTTATATAACTGATTACCAGATACGAAAAATTGATCATCACATTAAGACTGGAACAATGTAATTTTGTTAAGCCCTCCGTAAAATGGCCAGGAAGGGAAATTGGTAGAGATTTCAAGTTGTGAGGAAAGAATATAGGCTTTTAGGAATATAAAGTAGAAATGTTAAGGTAAAAAGGAACTGTGAAATTACTTATGTTGAACTACTGGAACAGGTAGTACTGGTAGATAGCACTATTCCTGTATCTATAGACAGCTTAATATTTACATCTATGGGCTAATGCACTGTTTCAGTCCTATATTCAACAGTCAAGCTCGTTATAGCCAAACTTTTTGCTAATTTTAATTGATTTTAACAATGGTTCTGAGTAATCGAACGATAATACTATCTTTCATTACTCATTATGCAGTTCTTTATTACATGACTTTCAGTGGACCTTACTTGCTCGGATGTAAGTAATGTACAACTTAGCACGGTCTATCAAGGTTTTAGCACGGATTTCCATGCTCTTCTTAGACATTATATTTAAAACTGTATCGAAAGGTGATGCCGATACTCAGCGCGGGACTTTCGAAGAATAAAGTTAAAGAGTTGTTATCTCTGTGTGCTACATTATTACGATTTAGCCACCAAAGTCGAACCACCAACCAAAACATTTCTCGTCAGTGAACACAAAGGAGCTAGGCCAAGGCGTGTTATTGACCATGATGCTTGCTCAAATGCTACAGGAAATTTAGCACCTGTCTATAGACCTTGTCTGCAGGGGCGACTTTTTGCCAATTTTAAAAGTAGTTCTTGCGAAACGCAAGCGACTTTGAACTTTCCTCAGTGTATGTTTACCCTGAATTCAGTGCTTAGCTAAGGAAGGTACCACAATAACGCTCCGATGGGGTTTCATGGTTAATTAGTTACCAGTGTCAGCATATGAGTTCAAATATCCCCAATGATACGAGCCATAACTTGCTAAGAATGAAAATTAAAAGTCAGAGAGCTTACTAAAACTTCACGGCCTACCCTTTTGGAAAGTAGAGGGCGACATGACCGAAGCTAAGGTAAATCTACTTAGAACATACCTTCCAGCTGAGGATGGCAACCTTTTGAGATCCCTAGGTTGAAACCATAGAGATCCCGTGAGAAAGAATCCGCCTGCAGTCGCGAATTTTATACATAGGCTTGTCTTTCACAAGGACTTGTACGATGGACGGTCTAGGGACGAAAAGCAATCCTCTCGCCGAACCAAAGAGTGTACTACCTGTGACGAAAGTTTCGAGATATGACTAACAGCCCAAGCCATAAAATGCGTCTAGCCCTGCCACTAACAGGCCGACCTGCACAGCTGCCAAAAATGGAATCTAAAGGATAGCCGACTCCAACCTCCCTGTGGTCAAAGCCACAGGTAGGGTA